ACATATGTATGTATGTATGTATGTATGTATGTATGTATGTATGTATGTATGTATGTATGTATTTACGTATGTATGTACGTATGTATGTACGTATGTATGTATGTATGTATGTATGTATGCATGTATGTATGTGTTTATGTACACACGATACATGGTCTGTAGCATTTGTATGTTTGCACATGTTTGTACGTGGATCGTGGATGTGTGTATGTGTATGTGTATGTGTATGTGTATGTACATGTATATGTACATGTATACGTATATTCATGTTGTTCTTGTGAGTACCACTACTATTCTCAGCATTAGTTTTCTTATGGTTAGGAATTTTGAGCTGGCCCTGCAAATGATTGCAGTATACGGTCGTGATAGTGCAGTATATCGCACATAGATCCGAGTGAGCAGGTTTACACCTGCTGGCAAACAAATAGATTATGTACCTGTGAAGAGAAGCAAGAACATGTATGATGAATAGAGCAAGCAAGCCATTCATACCACCAGCAGCGGCACTTTCATAAGTGTGTCTAGGCAGCTCTGTTTTGCCTTGACTCCGCCCGCTGATCAACACAGCGCAGCTGTTTGAGTTTTCGCATTTTGGAGCTCGCTCAGCCTTTCGAGTGCGTGACGGAGTGGCGCCGCCTGACACGCCCGAACACCAGGCCATGTCTGAAGCCATTGAGACGTTCCTTCTCATCGGTGCATCCATGGAGGCACCCACGCAGCAACAGAAGCCCAGAATGTGCACCCATGGCATGGCGTTGAAAAGCAGAGCCATGTCGCCAGGTTGAGTCGACTCCAGGAAGAAGAAGCAGAAGAAGAGACAGAGAGAGAAGAGGAGGCAGCACTGCACTGCGATGGCATCACATTCACCGTATCTTTGTCATATCGGACTTTGGTGGTTCCATCCGGCTTCTTCGAGGCAGATGAGCTTGCAGAACGTGATGACCGTCATGACCACGACAGACCTGACCTTAGCACTTTCGATGCGGTGCTGCAGCGGGGCAGACATGTGCTTGCATGTGCCCACGCGTGCGCGCACGCGTATGTGTGTGTGTGTGTGTATGGGTGTGAGAGAGAGACACTGTGTGTGTGTGTGTTATCCCTCCTGTGTGTGTGTGTGTGTGCGTGTGTGTTATCCCTTTAACGAAGGGAGTAGTAGATCGTAACATTTGCATGAGTTCGTTTGCAGAAGCAGGGGGCATGGCAGTCACATCCTTGCCATGCCAACGAAGCGATGGATGTTGACTGGATGGGTTGACAGACGTGCAAACCTGTACCTGCTGAGTTGCATCCGGATCCAGTGTAGATAGCTGGTGGAATCAACATCACATGCAGTGCTTTGCTTACATGACGGTTGTGCGTGAGTGAGCGCTTTTCAAGCCTTCTGTCAGTCATGTTGGCTTGGTAGTGGAAATGAGCCTCGAATCCTGTAGAGTGGACAAAGACGGAGCAGCAAATCACAAACAAAACGAGCCACACTGCCGACGACTTCCCTGATCATGAGACCTGATACAAGTGTTTGTGTGTGTCTGTCTGTGTTTGTGTGCGTGATTGTGTGCTTGTCTTTCTGTCTGTCCGTCCGTCCGTCCGTCCGTCCGTCCGCGTGGTCGGTCGGTCGGTCGGTCGGTCGGTCGGTCGGTCGGTCGGTCTGTCTGTCTGTCTGTCTGTCTGTCTGTCTGTCTGTCTCTGTCGGTCGGTCGATTTGTCTGTTTGTTTGTCTGTCTGTATGGGCATCATATGTGTGTGTATGTGTGGGTGTGTGTGTGCAGAAGTACTTAGACTCGGTTACACTGCAAGTAGTGCATGTGACAGAGCTGAGGGTCACATCCGCACTGCGGATTCTGCCGGGTGGACCGAGCTGCTTGGCTTCCATGACGTCTTTGCCTTTAAACGTTGGTTCGGTTCTCTGTGCTCGAGGCGCTGCGGCTTGTCGCCATGCAGGCGTCCACAGCGCTCAGGCCGCGCGTGCGTGCATGCGCCGCGCAGGGACAGGGCTCTCAGAGCATTGGAGAGGCTGCGGCGTGCCGTGGCGGAGTTTCCGCGTGAGGCCCGGCGCGAGGTCTTGGAGGCTATGGCTCCGACAACGCGGCTGGCACTCCTGGCATTCATGGAGCGGTCCAAGGCGCTCGTGGCGAGGGCACGGTTGGATGCGGGCCCGGAGTCTGGGCAGTCCTCAAGGAAAGCCTCCAAGGCCAAAGAGCAGCTGGTGCGACCATGGAGGCCTAGGACTGCAAGGTCAGAGCGGCAGGGGGGCATCTATCGCAAGCAAGGTGGCTGGATGGCTAAACTCTGCCTCGTTCCGCACTTCTACGTGTCATCTCGCTGCTTCCAGAACCCACAGCAGGCGGCCAGCATGCTGAAGATCCTTTGCAGAGCACGGGACTTGACGCGAGCGGGAGCGACCAGCTCAAGTTACAGAAGTGAGCTCCTGAAACAGGCGCTGGTGGATGCCTGCTGTCAGGAGGGTTTGGAACTTCAGGACCTGGCACCCTCCTTTACCGCGTATGTGGATGCCAAGGGCATCGTGGGATGCGCAGTCTCCTCGCGGTCGAGCACCTGTCTAGAGGAGGCGCTTGATCACAGGAGTTTGCTGCTGGCTGGCCGAGCCAAGGGCTGGAGTCACTTCCGTGAGGCCTGGCTACATGTCTTGCAGGCGACGGTGCAGCGCAGACCCTCGCGAGCTTGGGGACGTGCCCGAAGCAAGCCCCTCAAAAAAGCTCAAGCAGAGGTCTTTGTCGACAAGGCCCGCAGGAGCTTTGAGTTGCAAAGGCAGGCCACTGCAGCGGCGGTCTGCCGGAAGCGCCTGGCCAAGGCCACACAAAAAGTGGATGCGGTCCTGCAAGGGCCAGGGCACCACAAGAAACGGAGCCTGCGACTTGGTGAAAGGGTGGCGGCTGCAGGCAGAGCTCTCCTTGTTCACTCGTGAGCTTGGCCGCAGCCAGATTTTGGCACTCTCCTCCACTATGTAGCACAGCAGCCAAACGATATCAAGCGATCAAGTAACCCGATGTGCAGTGCGAAGAAGATGGAAAGAGGCGTTGCAATTTGCCATCGCATGCTTTCAATGTGCTGCATGTATTTGTTGTATGCTGACCGTTTGTGGAATGAATACTCAGCAGCTCAGCAGCCTTGGCGCCTGGGCGCAGGGCTGTCATCATCAATCCTCGTCCTCCCTTTCAATTTCGGCAGTGAGCATCCGGCATGATCTGCCCCAGAGGCCATGCTGCTAGCTGCGAGCTCCTCCCAGAAATGCTTACACTCGCATACAGAGCTCGTCAGCTCATTGAAGCACAGATGCATAGGCTTGTCCACCATGGCTGACACTGCTGCGACTGCTGCGACTGTGACTGCGTCGGCTTCTTCTGCGGCAGCTCCTGCGACTGCGGCGACCCCGGTCGCAGCTGCAGCGCCTGCCGCCTCCACTGCAGCGGCTCCAGTGGCCGTTGGTGCTGCAGGCACCGAGCGGAGTCGTTTTTAGAGACTCAGAGCTTTCAGGAGCTGGGTGACTTCACGTGTTAGGCAGGCTGTCGAACTGGTTGTTGAGCCCCCGGCTCCACGGCATGCTGTCACTCGTAAGGCCAACAGGGCTACGTGGCTCCCGGCATGAACATGTACGGCCAGCAGAGCTACATGAGCCCCGGTGGCTACATGGGCCAGGGTCAGTTCGGGCAGCCTGGCTATGGGGGCATGGGCATGCCTGGGCAGCCGGGATACCCGGGACAGCCTGGCATGCCTGGCCAACCTGGAATGCCACCGCAAGACATGCAGCCTCAATTCAATTTCCGCACCACCGTGCGATGCTTCATGGAGATCGCCGCCATCATCCAGGGCTTCTCCCTGATCTTGATGATTCTTGGTTAGGTTGGTGAGTAGGGGCACCAAGAAGAAGGATAGAAGCGGTCAGCCATCAGCGAAGGATGGGAAATGGCTGGGTCCAGGAGATGGGCTCTAACGAGGAGCAGCCCTTGAGGCCACTGTCACACAGTCGGTATGTTAGCTTATACTGCAGTAGGTTGCAACATTTTTCGCTGAAGTCTGCCACAGGCGCTTCGCCGTGTGGATAGGCAGCTCCTTGCGCGGAATCTTCTCTTCCCTGTTGCCATTCTTGGCCAAGCGCAGCTTGACTGAGGCCTCAGACCCTGTGCTTTGCCTTTTGCAAAACAAGCTCAGGCAAGAATCGCTCAATGGAGGAGATTTGGGACATGGAGACGACTCCGAAGATGCCGACACGTTGGTGGGTTGTTCTTGGTTGGATCTACTTCGCTGCCTCCTTCCTTCAGGATTCGCCAAGACCCTAAGAGAGCTGCTGTTGATCAGCTCTAGACTCTAAGAGGCTCTAGAGGCTCAAGAGGCTCTACACTCTAGAAATGCTTCATCACAGGAGTGGAACGCTTACCAGCGTGCGCGGAACCGGCCTGTCAGTCTCTCTCAAAGCGCCGTTCTACAGCGACCTTCAGGCAGCGAATCGCTCGTAAGATTCAGGACTTTTTTGGCGGGGGTGGGGACCGGGGGCAAAGCTCTTTGATTCAGAGTTTTTTTTTTGAAGCCAGGGCCAAAGGCTGTCACAGCGGCAGAGGGCGATGCCGCGGGCGGCGCTGGCGCTGGGGGCAAAGGGAGTATCGTGGACTTCTATTTGCAGAAACAGCAGGAGCATCAGCCACTTGTCGTAGCTCTGACACTCCGAGTCTGCCTGGATCCCTGCAGTGTAGTTGGCACAGACAGGACGCCAAAGCAAACGCATCACAATGCAGGGTTCAGCGGAAGACTCATGCTGAGCCTCGCCAGGAGATGTACCGGCAGAAGCAGGGCTCCCAACCAGGAGCCGGAATACCTTTTGTGTTTGCCTTTCTCCCGTTTGCAGAGTTCTTGTCCTTACGGATTCTTACATTCAGGTAATTGCACTCTTAGCTGTTCTTGCATGTGTGTGTCCTGAGCACGACAACAGCTTGCATGCAGACCAGGGGCCAAACTTACGCAATTAACAGTTGAAACTTCATGTGCTCCCTCCGGAAGTCTTTCGTTTGTCGCACTGCAACTAGTGTGTCATGTTGCAATGGCACTGCATGTTCGCAGGATCCGATCTCGGATCTCCTGCGACATGCAGTAGCAACGAACAGTGCATCGGCCTCGTCAGGAGCTGCTTCCATCGGCACAGCAGGTGGGATGTGCTTCCGTCGAACCAGAAATTGTGCACGTTGAACCTCTGTTTGAAGCATACACTTCTACACTTCATCAGGTGGATACGCTCTGCAGAGAACCGCAGCCTCCGTTGCGTCGCCCGCAGACACAGCTCCTGGAGGGACGGACGTGGACACAGGTTAAGCTTGTCAAAAGAGCTGGTGCTCCAGTTGAAGCTGGGGGTTTGGTGCAGGCTTTGGCTGACGGACGATTCTTACTGTTACAGCAGTTCATCAAGCGTCGGCAGTTTGCGGACTAGCCTCATGTCCTGTGCGAAGTACTTGCGTTCTGGTTGGTTCTAGGACTCATCGGGAAAGAGCCGTTCTTATCTTCCGTGCCTAGCTTGACAAAGGTAGAGGCTCCCAGCGCAATGTGTCTGTTCGCACCGAAGCGCATGCCGAAGTGAGCGCTGCTTAGAAGCTTGAGGCTCATCGGCAGACGGGAGGTGCATCCGCAGCTGGCTCAAAGGAGAGACGGGCCTCCTCCTGCTTCGGAGGCTATGACGCCGGCTGCGGACGGCGGCGTCTCTGAGGCGGGCAGGCATGCAGCATCAAAGCAAGCCGAAGAGCGAGATAGATTAGAACTTGGATTAGCAACGTGGCAACGGCTGCGAACGTTTGTGAAAATGCCATTTCAGCTTCTTTTAAACTGTGGCGTTGCAGAGTTTCCAGTTGCAGCCTCCAGGCCGGTATGGATCCCGTCCCGTCGGCCTTCTGGTCCTCCGTGCACGTGACATTGATGGCGCGGTGTGCGGACTTGTTTGCACGGTTCTGAGGGATCAGAGCTTAATGCGTGTTCGAGTGCGAGGTGATGGGGAACTTCCATGGCCCGTGTAAACAATGGCTTCGTTTCATGCTATCATGAAGCTGGCTTGAGGATGATGATGATGATGATGATGATGATGATGGTGATAGTGATGATGATGAATCGGCAGATTGCCCGGTTCTTCTGCTCAAAGGATCTGGCTTCTTAATGTAGCGCCGCAGCGCTCTGCCCCAAAGGGGGCCAGCCTGCGCAATGGGCCTGCTGGTGCTAAGCCTGCCGCTGCTGCTCGCGCGCGGGCTCTGGGCAGCCAAGGCCACTTGGAAGAAGACCCGTGTGTGTGTGTGTGTGTGTGTGTGTGTGTGTGTTTCTGTCGAGCTATGGAGCTATGCTGCAAAGACAAAGGTGTCTACAGAGCGGGCTTCGTCGCAGCGCGAGGAGTGCTTGAGTGCACCGGGAGGAAAGTGAAAACAAGCCTAGCTCCCGGGCCGACCCAGCAGATGAGCTGCGACCCAACCGGGGGCCCAACGGATTTGCAGCACTTTCAGATCAAGCTCGTACACATGAAGGTATGCATCAATACTCAGGGCAACCCCTGGCCTCTCTGTTATGATGTGGATGGATAAACACCATTCAAAAACCGTATCGGAAGATATCCCCATAAGCCAGAGTCGCGCCCAATGCAGGCAGGTAGCAAACCATCTGCACGAATGGGATCAATTTGAACCTCCAGTAAGTAGGATAGTAATGGGGGCTGGTGGGCTCGTTCCTGTGAGCTGCAGTGCGCGCGAAAAATTGAAAAGACTCCCTTATCAGAGAACTGCTGAAGCAAACATTTACCTTATGCTCTTTATGTTCTGTGATCGCTACGGTCGCTGCTTGCGGACATCTGTGCTTGTCTAGGAGAGTTTCGCTCCACAGCGACTTCTGAATTTGTGGCTTGGCAAAGCAATATGTCCGAACCCAGCAAAGTCTGTGCAGGGTATTGGAAACATGGTGCCATTCTGCCCAGTGCTGGCCATCTGTAGTCGACACTGTAATTTGGCCGTCCTTCTTGTTTTGTGAGAGCTGAGCTACAAGTTTGGTCCCAGCACATGGTAGGCTTCTGGTAAGACATTCAACTTCCTCTATGTTCGGCTCCCATGGCCAGGCAGAACCCGGAATTCCAGCCGGCGTCCTCCAGCTTTCTCAGGAATGCTCCAAGGTCGGGAAAGTTGTCGAGTCCCTTGAAGCTGTTGTTGTGAGTCTCTGCAGTTGAGCTTGACGCCTGAGTCCACCAGCCATGCAGTTGGGCTGCGCAGGCAGGATAAATTGCGTGGATACCTGGACCTTCCTAACTCGTCCAGCAATGCTTCAGATGCGGCGCTAGTTCCGCTGGAGACTCTGTGGCACCATGTGTGTCAGCACCAGTGTTCTGCTCGAGATGAAATGCCACTGCGGGGCAGGTGGTACCTGTCGAGTGCGAAAAGCTTTTGGTAGTCTCCACAGCTAAGGAACCTGCCAAGTGCCTTGGCTCGCAAGGGCAGGCTGCGCTCATAAGAAGACTGTGTCCCGTTGGACTGCTACACAGGTGCTGCACAGGTGCAGGTTTAGGTGGAATGCACACGTCAGAAGCTTCCATGGCACGAATTCAGATCTTTGCAGGATGCCCAAGATGTGCTGCAATTGCAGCTGACTCGTACAAGAAAGCTCTTGCAAGCCCGCGCAAGCCGTGGAAGCCTTGTACTGACACCTGAGGGCTGAAGAGATCTTCGAAGAGCCCAGAAAGGCATGCGGGCATTGACGTGGAACCCCTTTCTTTCATCCTTGTCCAGGGAAGGATTTGGCAAGCAGGCTCGAGAAGGATTCGAATTCATCGGCATGCGTGAGGGAGCAGACGTCCAAGTGGAAGGCTACATAGCCGGTTTGTTCTTCTACTGCTACTACTGTTGCTACTGCTGCTACTACTACTACCACTGCTGCTACTACTACTACTACTACTACTACTACTACTACTTCTACTACTATTACTACTAGCACTACTACTACTACTACTACTACTACTACTACTACTACTACTGCACTGATGATGCACCAGGGGTCTCTGGCTGCGGTAGAAATCCTTGGCCCATCCTTGCCTCAGCCTCTGCCTTGTCGCACAAGCGGTTAATGGGGCCTCTTGACTTCAAGATGCTGTCAGTGGGCGGATAGTTCGTAGTTCTTGCTCAACATAAAAACATACCCTCAATCCTTAAGCGGCCCTGCAGCCTAAACAGCATCATGCTTCGCAGATAGTAGGTCTTGAGTCCACAAAGCTAGCAATGCAAAATAGCGCAGAAGCCCGAGCGGAAGGCTCTTTTTGTTCTGCATGGTCATGGTCATCGAATCATCGAACATTCGGCAACGCCCATGTGGCTTCAGATCTGAGGGTGTCGTTCAGGTTGAAGTGTTTCTCACCCTGGACCAGGTCATGGGCGTTGCGCTGAATGGTGAGAGCGACATGCGAACACTCAACACCTCCCTGGTGCTCGGCACAGTGGGTGCCGCAGGATGAGCGGCAGAAACATCAGCTTGTCTCACACTTGTGCATCTACAGTATCACATTTGACAGTGTTTTTGGTGCAGGAGTGATCTTCGCGTTTGCAGCACTGCAAGTTCTCCTCCCACAAGTTTATCAGAGATCTTCCAAACGCCACGGACTGAGAGTGCAAGGCGAGTCTGTCTCTGGGAATCCTTAAGTTTCAAGATGGCTCGTGCAGCCCCTGCTTGCTCGAAACTCAGACAAATCGATCAAAGACACCGATGCCACGGAAGAGTACCACCTCCAGGCCACCGTCCTCATGCAAAGCTGACTATTGATGTCTTTCGTTTCCCAATCCAGGTACCCACAGGGATGCGCTGGCTGGACTCTTTGTGGAAGGTATGGAACACGACGTGGCTGATGCTGCATTGCATATTCCGTCCAAGGTCTTGATCCTGCTAGTGAAAACTTGCTCTGAGCGTAAAAGCAGCAACCACTTTTTTGGTGATTTCATTTTGTCAAGCCTTCGCTTGATAGCACATGCGAAGGCGAACCTGCGAGTCGGTAATGCTGGGAATCGGAAGCAGTCATTATGTGCATGTAGGAGGTCTGGAAGAAGGAATGTTATCGTTCATTGAGGCCGGATGACGAAGTCCGCTTGGCGGGACTTGATGGCTGGTCCCTGCTGGTGCCTAAGGGCTGCAAGGGCGGTTTCTGGGGAAAGAAAGTAAGGACCCAAGGCTGTGGGATGCAAAGTGGGTCCAAGCAGGTAAGGAAGGAAGCTTGAAAGGGAACGCGAGACGATACGAAAAATTGCCAGCGAAGCCGAAACACACCTGCTGGAAGGCAGCTGGAAACAGCAGACGCCCCCGGTCAGGAGTTCGTGCGGCTCAACCTTCGCATCATGTCGATCCTGGGCCCCTTCATGCTGGCAGTGCTGCTTCCGCTACACTTCGTAGCCAGCCGTGAGTCCCATAACACCCTGGACTTCTTGAGCCGGCTGGACATTGGCAACTTGCCCAGGAGCGGCAAAGCCTGAGAGCATCTGAGAGCCCAGAGACTTCAAACATTCTCGGAACAGGAACAGCTGGATGCTTTGGTTCCACGCAGCTGTGGTGTGGTTCGTGGTGACAATCAGCGCCTGGCAGCGGCACAACTGCACTCAGCTTCTGTCAATTATCGGAGGCCAGAGCTTAAATTCACCGGTTGATCAGAGCAACGTCGAAAGGTCAAGCATCATGCGCACAGTTGGTCGAACACTGTAAGGGGGGAGGTTGTATAGTTGCATCTGCATTTCATTCTTGCATCCTGCATTGCGCCAAATGCACTCCTTTTGGGGAGCTGTTGAGAGGAAGGCGGAGGAAGATCAGCACACTTGTTCGAAGTTGTTTGCCAACAGGATCAAGCTGGCACATGATGGGTTCACCGAGCGCCGGTATCAATGGCTCGCAACGCTGCCTAGGCGCGCAACATGCAGTGAAGTCTCGGTTCATGATGACCATATTGAACAGTACTGATGCTAGGGTGCTGCTAGGGCTAGGGGTCGCGGCAGGCCCCGATCGACCACCGTGATGGTACGCAACATCCCCCCCATGTACCGCTCCGACAGTGCGTTGAAGGAGTACTTCGACACAGCTTCTTGGAACAGAACAGAATCATAATGTAGTTTTCTCGGAGACCCGATTATCCGGTCAAAGCCGGTAAAGCTAAATCTCGAGGTGTGACCAGGGTGACGAGCTTATCAGTGATTTTTCATGGGTGACAGCCGTCAAGGTACCGACCTTGCAGGATTGGATTTGTTTCTGGGACGGAGGAAGTTCTAAGTAGATGCTGCAGGGAGATGTGGAATTTTGCGGCAACGTCCGGGACAGCCGGCGCAACTATCTTAAGCTTTGTGGAGCAAACCTGCAACCTGGACCACGCGGTGAAGCCGTCTGCCAAGGTTTTCTCGGAAGAAACTATGCAGCACACTGTCGAGCGTGCCTATGTAATCCGCAGAACAGGCGGCTGGTGGAGCTGTGTTCGGGGCTTCCACGGCTTCAAATGGCACATGCCCTGTGACATAAGAAGCACCATCCAGCAATGAACGCGAACAGTTCTCCCGACATGTAGACAGCAACAACCGAAGTTGTAGACTTCAGCGGCAGTTCATTGTATATTAAGCCAACAGGATCTGCATGAGCAATTTAAGCCAACAATGCTGCCTACTGCTGTGGCCTTGATGATTGCATCTTTGCATCTTTGCACTTCGTGGCTCTGACGATCAGGCAGGCTGCCGCAGTTAGCCTGGCGCTGAGCTGTTCGGTCTCATCCTGGATTGGACGGGAACCATCTTGACGATGCCTTAAAGTCTTAAACAAAAGTTTCCCATTGCTGATACTGGAGAGACTAATTTCAAGTTCCACTCTAGGACCTCTAGCATGACGCAACTCCTCAGCCTTTGCCTCAGCGCACCTTCAAAACTTCGCCGGCAAGCATGCTTCCATCGGGCTGGTGCCCTGACTGAAACCTTGCTGCTTCTGACGGCCTCTGGCCCTCAATAAAAGCGCCCAGGCAATCTGCATGCACGTGCTTCTCTCGTGTTGTGTCCTTGCCATCAGCACGGTCCTTTGCAGAAAGCCTCCAGGTCCTCCGGCGTTTCTGCAAAAGACCGAGGCTCAACAGCCCTCCAAGTTCCCTTGCGTTGAAGAACCTAAACCAGGTGGCGCGCGACTGTGACCACGCTGGTCTTGCACACTGCATTTCGAGGAAAACCCTGTCGAAACCGACTTCGATACCTTTTTCGTTCTGGATGCGTGGAGCGTACCGTAAGCCCACGAAGGAAAACGCAGTGCACAGTAGGATGTTTGAAGGATTGGTTATGTGATTTCTAAAGCAGCATCACAACCAGAATTACAGCGCCATCACCTGGACCATCATATCATGAAGACAACCATGACCATGACCGCCGCCAGCAAGACTCATCACCACCGCCACCAGAACGAGCCAGCCCACCCACCCCGACTCCCACCCCCCCGTAACCCCCGCCAACCCCCCAACGCTCCACCTACCCCACCCCACCCCACCTCGCCCCTGAAACCTGGCGCTCTGAACCGGGGACCCATTATCTTCATCTTGTGAATAATGGAAAAGCAGTTCATGAAAGGTGCAGCAGCTCCGTGCTGCTCGCTATGATGCGGCCGTTCTCTCCAACCGCATCAACAAGGCATGTGAAATGTGATTTCGGTCATTTCGGTTCATGCGTTGTCATACGGCTACAGCGAGTCCGTAGTGTCGCAACTATGGCCAGGCCTTGAAATTCCTGGAACTTACTACAGCTTAGTCGACGGCAGAAGGGGGTGTTTGAGGCCTCGGAAGGCTTGACAATGAGTATTTCACTTCGTTCCGGAGCGATCGTAAACAGGGGAGCCGCATCGAGCCACCGTTGTCGGATGCGCATTCCTCAGGTGCGGCAGCAGGGGGCAACCGAGGATGGGGGCCAGGAGCTTGAGCTGGAGAAGCACAGGCTTGCCGGGTTGGCAGCCGTAAAGCTGAGGGACGGTTGTGGTTCTTCAATCTTCAAGGGAGGAGCATACCAGTCGCATCCCAGCAGATTGAAGCCGCTTTATACCCTGGGACAAACGCGATGCAGATCAGAATCCCCCACTCCAGTGCACAGAGACCTCGGGCTTAAAGCGCTCGCAGGCACATGTGTCGTTGGAAGCGCCGGGAAAGACAGATTTATGTCTACATGACTGTTCGGAGATTCGACCATGTGTGCGAAGGCTGGCCATTGCCAATCTCAGGCACGGGCTGCTTACAGGGCTGTGTCGGTACTAGGATCCTGTTCTGGCCGTTGACGGGATGATGCGCAGCCCAGCACGCTCTGCTGAGCCCCCAAGATCGATTGCAAGTCTTGAGGAATTGGCTTCTCATGCTGGCAGGAGCCGCGTTGCACGGGAGCAAGCGGCCATCGAAGCGGCGGCGCAGGGCCCACGGCCGGACCAGAAGGTGCTGTTGAATGCCTGTGACAAGAATCAAGAACACAGGCGGCAAGGATGTCAGGTCTAGCGGGCGTTCGGGCGAGCTGCTCATCAGGGAGCACAAAGTGCTCGCGCAGCATACAAGTGGGATGAGGGTTGAAAATCTGTTCTGCCAGACTTACAGCCGAGAAGCTCAGTATCTCACATCGACATACATACAACACGCTGGAATCATGTCCTGTGCAGGTAGGCTCTTCTTCCGGCTTTGTGACCTTCACGACCATCCTGTCGCAACGCCTTGCGTCCCGGGAGTGCTGCGGCCGCGCATCAGGGATGGTCGGTTCTTCTGTGAGGAAGATTGTGAAGACGAGAGCAGTAGAGTCATTGCAAGCTCCGGCATTCGCAGTTCCGTTGCGATGCGCAAGCCTCGCGACTTGACACGACTCACAGCCACGTGAATGAAGCCTCGAGCCCCAAAATCCCGTGCATGTAGTGGTTCTGGCTCGTTGAAGCCCGGCATTCGTCACGGAAAGGAGTGGCATAGGCAACGGGCCTGAAGACATTCATATCATTTCTTCCTTGGCCCACAACAAGTCAATCTTCTAAACAAGCGACGCAGGGTTCTGTACATCGATCAAGATGTTGCCCGTCGCTACTTATGTGGCTGGCGGATGGCAAAGAAGTAATCGTTCTGTGTTGCTCCAGTGCTTTGTCTCTGCTACTATTGCTATGATGTGCCTGTCCTCTTTGCTGCCGGCCGAGGCAATGCACACGTGATGTGCAGGCCTTCAGGATGTTCCTGGACTACATTGAAAGATGGGTCTGTCTTTCAGGAAGCAACTTCTTTCTTTGAGGTTGGCGAGCTTTTGGAGGAAGTGCCGACAGCAGATGCAATTTTGCCCTGTGGGACGGTGACGAAGGTTTATGGCCCCGGACTCGCACGATGTTCTGTACGAAAACTTAGCAGAGGACGACATCAATGCCTCCTCCTGGAAATGGCTCGGAGTCTTGGCAGAAGCATGTCGTTTTGCGTGTTTTCGCACCGCAAAGTGGTACAATCCTTCCGCTAGTGAGAATGTCTTACCGTCCCGTTGGCTTCACATGACATGCAGCCATTGGAAAGCTTTCCGACGCCTAGGTAGACTTGCCCTAGTCGCAGTGTTCCTGTTCTGGATTCCCATCGTGGTGGCCATTTCTGGATGGACCACGCTGAGCTCAATTCAGGCCGCCTTCCGAATCAGCAGAGGGGTATTGCTTTTGAATGTCTGAGCTTGGTGGGTGTGGCGTTGGTGTCTGGTTTCGATTCGTCTCTTTCAGGGCACGGTGCCCATTGTCAAAAAGTTTGTGGATGCCCACCCTGCTATGGGCAACTTGCTCTCCGGCGTTCTGGCAACAGCGGCCTTGAAGATGTTCATGGCCTTCCTTCCGAACGTTTCCTGTCAGCATGCGCGTTTTGTGTCCGTTTCGTTCTGTGCTTTCGTGGCTGCCAGAGCTCAGGTGCTGCACGCCATCATCACTACTACTTCCCATCTCAAAGCTGGCAGTGTTGAGCAGCTGAAGCTGCAGCAGTGGTCTGCAGCCTTCCTCCTGCGTCTTGGCTTTCGCCTTTTGAGCTCTGTCATGCCAATCTGACGATTTCGCAGCAAAGGCTTTTCGTGGTCCTGGTGACCTCCCTAGGACGAGGACTTACCATCACATTCATCATCATCATGCAGGAGTCGGGGGCGGGGTTTGTGTAGCACTTTTGGAGTGGCGCGGGTCGCAGCATTGTCTGGCAGGAGCCGGCGAAGATCATCAGCCTGCGAAGCGCTGAGTACTGGGCTGCATTTCGTCCTGGCAGCGGCCCCAAAACAAGGCCCCCCCCCAGGCCACGGCTCCCACAAGGCTCGCTGCATCGCTGCCCTCGGCTTCCCACTTTTACTTCAACTATGTGATCCTGGGATGGCTGGTGCTTCCGCTGGACCCTGTGAGCCTGCGAGCATCGGGCAGTCTTCAGAAGTCGAGAAGCAGCAGTTTCAGCTTGTTGTGCGATCTTGGGGCTCGTGTGGGCTGCGATGATCGGGTGGCCATTTCGTGCAGGCTTGAGAATTCTTCGGGAATCTATAACCCATAATGGGTCTACGCTTTGCAGTTGCAGGATCTGCTCCGCACCGGAAACCTGGCACCGATCCCAGCCTTATGCATTGCATCACCTGCATGAACCTACCAGCTTGAAACATCGAGACAGAGGACCCCTGATGCCAAGATGCTTACCAGCTTCGAATGCTCCTGAGGCCAAGTGGTTTTTCTACCGCAAGGTTTGCGCTTTTGAGGACACCTATGGAATTCCTTCAGCAACGAGCTAGGCAATGTCCGTTGCAGGAGGAGGAAGCCAAAGAGTACTCTGAGCCGGAGGACGTAGCCTACTATGGCTTAGGCTCCAGAATGGTCCAGCCCTCAAATAAGGAGGTTGCCGAAATAGACAAGAACTTGGTACTGGTTTTGAGGCCCGATCTCTGCTGATGGCTTCCATCTTCTTCTTGTTTGCTTCGTGCTCGCCCTTGATTTTCGCTGGGACCTCACTGCCCGCCGATTTTTCACCGAACTGCCTGGCCAGTGCGACAGGTCTTCACTTGGGTGTACTTCTTCCTCGCACAATTTGTGTACGGCTACCTCCTGCTGTTCTGCGAGAGCAAGAAGCCCGACACGGGTGGCATTTTCTGGGTGCAGGCCAGGTCTGGCGCAGTTTTTTTGGTTCTTTGAAGCTTCCGACTTGCTTGCAGGCCATGGATCAGCTTTTCATCGTGCTGGCGATCTACGCCCCTCGACCAATCTCTAAGAGTCACTTCTTCTTCGATCACATTCGTGACAGAGGTGATGCTTATGGTCGGTGTCCTTCGAGCCCTCACGAAGGAGGCGTGGGTGCTGGTTGAGCGAACCCAGATCATGAGCTTCTTGAGAAAGAGCACAGTAGTGCTCCTCGGACTCTCTGCACTAAGCGCTGCGGCGCTGACGCATACCCTTTTTCTCTGTGTATCTGCGTATGGTGACCTTCGCAGCTCCGTGACAGGACATCTGGCTTGGGCCTCCTGCTGCTGCATTTGCATCACTGCTGGTTCTTTACATGGCAAGGCGGCGCCCTCGACTCGTCCAAGGCCAAAGCATGTTGATGCCTTGCCATCCAATTTTGACCGAGGCGAGAGGTCAACAACTTGGCCTTCGAGACTCTGCCCTTGGAGGAGGTGGTCAAAGCTTTCCGGGACAGCAAGGAGCTGCGATTCAGACATTGCCTGGTCTGTTGTATGTTAGAGCTACTAAGCATCGCCATTGATGAGGACAGGACGGAGCATGAGAACATGAGCCCTTGCTGCATTTACTGGGAAGGTCGTTGTACGGTCCAGGAATTGCATAGCGAGTTTTCAAAGCACTTCGTTAATGAGTGTGATAAGCGGACAGCAGGGACTGGACTGCTAGTTCGGGAACGTGTAGAAGCAGGGACTGGTGACCAGCACGCGCAATTTCTTCGCAAATGCATGCGGATGCAGGTACATTCAGCCTGAGTGCGACCCAATGTTGGTGGCTGATGAGTAAGCTCGAGCCAAGCTGGTGAGGCTTTGTGCAAGTCTGTACAGACCGCTCGCAAGGTTGGTGAAAAGCAGGCAAAAGAAGGGCCCTGGGCTCGCTGAGAGCCATCCCTCGACGGAACACTTCAGACTGCCAGGACCGCAGCTTTCTGGTCAGCTGACCATCGACGAAGGCGAGTCCGATCTTGGGCAGCGTGTTCCTCACACGCCACAAACCATGGGTTTCGAACGACTGCATAGCAAGGCTCCGGCTGGCAGTGGCATGGATGGGAAAGGGAAACACTTAAGTGAAGCAGGCGGCAACAGAAGAAGCACTTGCGTCAAGTATCGCCAGACCACTCACCTCGAAACCAAACCATGAGACTGCCAGTCTGTTCTCCTGCCACCCAATCTGGGGTTGCTGCCGGGCAGTGCAGTTGGGATTTTGGGATCGTTATCTGAGACTACCGCTCCCTTGCTCCGGGTCTGTGCTTCACCTCTCTCGTGGCTGCCGTGGCACGCGGGTTGTCCAGCATCACACCAAATATCCCTCGAGCGAAAACGTATCACGGCATGTTGACGGCTTTCAAGACCGCCCCAATCCCCACAAGCAGTCCACACATGCTGAATCCGGTTCTTCAAGGTGCTTGTTGAGAGGTTATCGAACCTCTGGGAAGAGATGAAGTCCAAGTGCCAGGATGCTTGGCACGGCTTTGTCGGTCCGGCTCGGGACTGTGAAAGGGCCGGTGTGAAGAGTGGGTTTGGCTCGTGATGGTTTGGAACGACCTGGTTTCAGGGTGGTCCTTCCGTTTGGTGATACTGGCTGAGTCTCCAGCACATCTTTGCAGCACTTTTCGCTCCGTGATTCAACGACTGCCAGCACGCCGAAGCTCAGGACAGACCCCACTCAAACACCGAGCAATACCGCCGATGCAGTGCCTTGGTCTGAGCTGCCGAGCATCCTGCCGCAGCGCGCAAAGTCAGGATTCGCAGGCTGATCTCTCAATTTGGGTTCGCTAGCATGGCGCTAGGCAGGTTCGGAACCGCATGCTCAAGGCGAAGCTCTTGTGCAGCTGCCTCTCGTCCTCCCAACCCTTTGGCCATACTCTTCGCGGGTAGAGTAAGGTCAGCACTCGGGCTCGGTACGTCGATTGGGTGTGGGTTGTGGCAGCCAGGTGCTTCGCAGACCTAAGCTCGGTACGGCGATTTGTGAGGTTTTTTGGGGAGATGCATGCTCCCAAGATCGACGCTCGGTACCTGCCTCTGCGGATTTTTTGGCAGCTCTGCTTCCTTACCCGATCGAGCATAAAAACCGCCGGTGCATGAAGACATCTTCACCGCAACCTAAGATGCCGGAGCAGCATTACAGGACAAGATCTGTGTTACGTGCGGCTTTCGAGGGGCCATGCAGCTACCTGTGGAGTTGAAAAGCGTAAGTGATCAGGGCCGAGACATCTACTAACTACTACAGACAATGCGGCGCGCAGTGCGATTTCTCCATCGAGCGAGCGGGCGTAGAGGTCAAGACCGCCGGAAAATGCGAAGTGTGTGGACGTTCTACCGACATCGCGTCCGACAGCAGCAGCTGAAATGTCTGAGTGCTAGTACCCTTCTTAGGAATGCAGGCATGCATCCCCAAAAACCAGAGTTTACCGCCACGTATCTGTAAGCCTGTTTTCCTTTTGCCACATGAAGCGGCTACTGCCGCGTTAACGTCAGGTTCGGGAAGCCGCATTTTGATAACCACTCACATGCTGAACGCACTGCCTGCTTATGTCCCGTCACATTCCAGCGTCTTTGGCGTAAGGTGCCATGATGTGAGCAGAGCCTGTGAAGTCCCAGCCTCGGAATTCAGCATCCTGCATCATGAGGATGCACAAGGTGCCGGGCTTGCGCCTTACACGCTTGTCTGCCTCAAGCCACGCCATAGGCATTGAATGGCCATCAGAGTGCAGCAGTCTGATAGCAGCAGCCTCACAGCAGATCCCTCCAGTGCATAGCTTGACGTACAACATGCACTAGACGCAACAGGCTTGGATAAAGCTTACAGTTGCATCGCCGCCAGCCATGGTTGGCACGCCGCTTCCTAGCCTCCTTCACCAGCAGAAACTGATGAAAGACACCTTGGCAGCGTCTGGAAGCCAGGGCCCCAGCCCAGCCCGAATAGAGGTGTATGGGGGATTGAGGTTTTTCCTTGGTTCGGGCAGGCCTTTGTACCCAAAGCAATCATGTTGGCGGCTGGTCTGATATGGAGGTTCTTTACCCTTCTCTGTTTCCTGTTGTCTGTCGGGTGTCAAGCCGCGGCTATCGACTAGCAGGGCTGTCGCGGTTTTGAATCAGCTGCATGTTCGAAGAAAGGAGGTCTCTAAGTATCTTGAACTATTGTGGCATAGTGCTGAGTCTTCTGAAGCAGAATAAGTTCAATGTCTCACTGCCGTTGTCAGGGCAAGCCAAGCTTCTACAGCATCTCCTCGCCGATGTCTCCGCTGCACTCATCGTAGGCTGGGGCGGGTCTTGCCTCACTTCTAGCGCCCGGAGCACGCGAAAGACTGCAACATGGTGGAGCCTTCGCAGACTTTGCGTGCACGCAGCGAAAGGTTTGCAGGGACAGTGCGGAAGCTGTTGAGGGCGCCTTACTGCCACTCTCTCGGCAAACGTTGTACAAATAGCTCCTAGAGCTCAAAGGACCCTCCCACAAAATTGAAAGATCCGAGCGTGGACGGCAGCCGCAGTCGAGCCCATGTTGCCCGATTCTACTAGATGCTTCCACTTGCAAATTGAAGGTTTTGGACTCGCGATTATCCTCGCGCCGATTGATCTTGCTATGCTCCGACCGGCGCTTAGAAACCCATGAGTAGTCTCTACGGACCTCCACTCCTGATCAAACGAGAGATTGCTATATGAGGAGCAGGCAAACCAGAGTCGCCTGGCGTCCTGATCATGCTCGGCTCCGTGTTCCAAGATTGCGTTGTGCAGCTTGGATGCTCAAGGAATGCAGTAGCTTCTGAACCAAGCACCCAAGCTGAGCGTGGCCAAGCCACGCTGAACGGCCTGCCTAGGTGCCCAGAGCTTGTGCTCCCAGCCGTCGCTTGGACTTGGTTCCTATTCTCCGGCACGTACGGCACGGCCAATGCCACACGCACGCTCTGTGATTGGGCGGGCTGGCGTCCAGATGTTATGGTGACCTGGCGATTGAAGTAACACCGGCTGTGCCAAGCAAGACCCAAAGTCTTGTCTCGTACTGGCAGTCTCTAAACCCAAGGTGTGGCTCTGTACCACGACGGTGAACTGTATCGTCATGTGCTTGAAGGACTCCCGGCAGTTCAATGAACTTGAGTGGAGGGCATGCAGTTTTTGCACGAAGTATGAGGCAGATGGCTGGTGCAAGCCTTCGATGATATGCAGCTGTAAGGCTGTAAGCATTCTGGGTGTCGGGTCAGCTTCTGGACGCATGCAACCCAAACATGCCATAATGGTAGGGCAGAAGCTCTACGATGACAAGCGTTTTGTTGGGATCCCGGCATGCCCATCCTGAACCGACACCAGGCTGTGGTTTCAGACGGCTGACCATGCCAGCTAAGGATGCATACCTGACCGGTGGCAGCCTGGTGCCCCCCAGTGCAACTTGGGCTGAACACCTTGATTAGCAGTCCTCTCTCAGTGGCTCCAGTCTGTCCGCACTGGTCTTGCCGGCAGATCTGTGACTACGAAAAGGGATCAGGCCAAGGCAGGCGAACCTGACAACAACATTGACATAGAGCAGTAACGTATCGCAGTAGTTGTACTGGCATCCGTGCATTATGGCCAGTACAACCGTGCAGCAGTGCAGCAAGGAGTGTGGAGCCGGCTTCGAAACAGACTGACCATAGTGCCCAAGTGCTTCAACTGCTTGCCTCCTCAACACATGCGACCGTTTCATGTCTTCTGCCCCGAGTCTGCCAGTTTCCGTCACCAATGTCCAGCCGCGTGTGGAAGAATCCGGAGCACCAGTGAGCTGTCCCAAGTCCGGAAACGTCGGCCCTGTACCAGGCTGCCATAGTGGCATGGGTGGCACGGGACCTGATGTTCTCACTCGTTGTCTTCGTTCTACCAGACAAGCTCCTGGGCACAGGAATGCTGCAGGTTCAGTGGTGCCAGGGCAGGATAAGTTGCTTGAGCAGTTCAAACTGATGCGGCTTACACTGCAGACCTCCATGCTCACGATGGGCGCAATGTTCAGAAGCTCACCGCAGTCTCGGCCTTGACTGAGGATCACTGGCCACCTTAGGAAGAAGGGCATCACGACGATCCGTGGTTTCCAGGTTCAGGACCTTTGATGACAGGGTCCGGGTTCAAGCTTGTGGAACCTAGGTATATCTTGGGGGTGTGAGATGCAGGACGATGAAACATAAGAAGACACAGTGATGCCATCAGTGCACGCACCCATAACAGAGGCATCGGAGATCTTCAAAGGTTCAGGTCTTACGGGGCGGCTGGGCATGAACTTGCTATCACAACTCCAGAACAAAGTGCTTTCTCTGTTCCTGCCTCAGACGGCACTGGTAGCATGGATCGGCTGGCCATAGCCCGCAGCCAGTCTTTCGAAAGCGCTTCCCATTGCTCTTGAGAATTCGAAGCAGCCGATTTGGCAGCGGTAGTCAGGACGTGGTTCAGATTTTGCTGCCTCTTCCGCTGCAGCTCTTCACTACTCCGCTTCACTTTCTAGGCGAGAGTGCTGTCTAGGGGTTGATAGTTCCAAGCTGGAACTCAAGCTGTAGTCAGAGGAGACAAGCTTGTGAAAACAGAGCTTAGGAAAGAGCGTTCCAGCCGGTGCTGTAAGCTATTGAGTTTTCCATGCTGCTTATTTTTCAGGTGTAGTTCACGCAGCTGCCAGGCATCTCCTTCGTCGCCCATCCCGGGGCATTGGGTGCGCCGGCGCGCCTCGCAGCCGCCTTCCGGGAGTTCGGCCTCCGTGTGGGCATCCGCTGTGCGCGCGTGCTGGTCGCGCGGCGGAGCCTCCTGAGTTCTTGCGAGATTCTGAGTTCTATGTTCTTCGATATCCGTTCTGCTCAGGTGCCATATTGCTTCGGTGCAGTGGTCAATCGCAAGCTGAGGAGCCGGTGGCAAAGTGTAGAGAAGTCTGCCCGCAGTACCCGCAGTTATGAAGGGCAGGCAGCTGCTGTAAGCAACAGGACCTACTTCGCGAAGCTCCGTTCGTCCTTCCCTGAGTTGTCTGCCGTGCAGGTGACCTGTTCCGCCAGGCTGCAGGTCTCTATGTGGCTGTCTTTGCAGATTGCAAAGACGGGTAGGTGCAAGCCAGGATTCTGCTTGCCACGGTAGATCGCTCAGAATCAGGTCGGAAGCATCGGAGGCGTGGCTGCCGAATACAGCACCGGGATCCACTGAATTGGCGTTGACATTTTGCTGTGAGTCTTGCGCTTTCTGTTTCTTCAAGGCCTTGACAGCCACCAGTGGCTCGGAGCTTTCTCCTCGCTCTGGGCGAGCCTCGCTCGGGCGTGCTTTGCTGCTGCTCTCGGCCCTTTACCTGATGCAAGGGGCCCATCTCTTCCGGTGGGCGCGAAGCTCAGAAATCGAACTCACAGGTTGAGTAGATCGGCTGTCTGAGAGAGTTTTAGAGTTTTAGAGTTTCTTCTACAGAGGCTCTTCTTCTACCAGCAATGATGATGGTGACACGGTTGCCCGCAGTTCGATCGCCGAAGGCTTTCTTGATTCCTCTAGCGACTGTGGAAGCCAGAGGGCCCGAGCCGTGAGCCAGGAGCCGAAAAAGCACATGGTCCACCCCGAAACCTCTCAAGCTTTTAGACGAATAGAAGGCTCCCGCAAGAGGCTTGCTGTCTAGTGGATCCTTGATCCCACGCTTCGATGCTCTTTGGAACTTCCTTCGAGGGAGTGACTTCTTGCACGTTTACGGAGGGCACCCAGAAACAATGTTAATGAATGAACCTTCACATCCCTTTCCGTTGATGGCTCGTTAGCAGTGCCCATGCTGTAAAGGAAACGGAATGTAGATGCAACCCTGCAGGTACAGCGAAATTGGGAGTAGTCCCAGCATTTTCCGGAGTTCAGAAGACGTCAAGAATTGGATCTCAGGGGTGGAGGCTGACTCTTGCCTCTTTGGTCCGGCAAGGGCAGGCCACCACGAGGAAGACCCCTTGACGCAGCTGTTTCGACTCGGATTCCTGTCTTCATGGCTTGTTAGGGCTGCACAGGTTCCACTCCTTCGAATGATTTTCCTATGCTGTACGCATGCATGCACGGATGCACACGGACTGGGTGCGGCGAAGACTCAAGACGCTGATCGTCGATAGTTGTGTTTGCCTTTGCCAAACCGTGCCACGTCGTGCTCCCGGACTTCGAAGGGGTGCCACAAAGGCAGCCAGCGATAACCCAGCGCTTAAGAAGACCCCACTCTTGGCCGGAGACGGAAGCCATTGCAATGCCAATGGTGCACCATCCTGTCGGCGCACAGACAAATTGGCGTTTGTCTCTTTCAGAAAAAATTTGAAAAACTTCAGCATGACCCATGCCTTGCGGACACAATGACTCCTCAGGAGGGTGCCGGGGACGAATGAAAGTGTGAGTGACCTACTTGTAGATTTCGCATTCCCAGACACCGTCGGGATCTTCAGCTTCTCGTTCTCGCTTGGCATGGGTTTAGGGCGGGGGGGGGGGGTCCGTTTGCGACCCCCGAAAATGCCGCGATGCATATGGTAGCAGCGGTGCAGAGCGCTCTGCCACTTGCAGCTGGTACAAGTTTGAGGCCGTTCAGCTGATTCCAAACCGTGTTTCTGTGTTCAAAATTTGCACAGAGACGTCCATGAGCTTTGTGCCAAGCTGGTTCTGGATTTTCCCAGGTGCTCTGGCAGCCATTGGGACCTAACAATGACCGTAGCGGACCGCAGCATGTGACTGGAGCCCGAGCCGGTGCACAAAAGGAGCAGGACGGATGTAGATGTAGGTGGTGGATATGAAGTCGCTTAAGTGTTTCTCTGTTGTGGATACCGGGCTTCAGTTCCACAGCTGGGCTTTTGGGCAGCCTTGGTCGATGATCGCTTGAAGCTCCATAGTTGGCGTGCTGAGTGAGCCATGCCAGCGATCGATCTGATCTGCTCGACCTGAGCAACTCATGGCTCACCCGTCTGTAAAGGCCACTGATAACTCTCCTGTTTAAGCAGATGTAAAGCTGACCGGTGCTGTAATCCTGCACAGCACTCGTCGGGAGTTTGCCTCTGTTAGGTAGGACCCAAAACCCAAATGGTTCAATTGGCTGCGAGCAAAAGCAGCTTTTTTGTTCATGCGAGCCACGTGTCTCTTGACAGGTCTGTGAGGCTTAAGGGTTAGGGTCTAGATTTGCAAGTGAGGTGCAGCGCTGTGGTCGACAAGAGCTTGACTATGCCCGTCAGAGAGCCACGCGGCCAGGACAGCTGGCTTCAGGTTTGAAACATAGACAAGTAGCAGGCTCTTGGGTACATGCACCTTCTGCGATGCCATGTTCACGTGCTCGTACTCCCAGGCTTGGTAAGCACAGTGATTTTTTGTATTTCAGGACCTCTTCACTGTTCACGGCCGGAATCGTAGGACTGTCGCGATCACACCAATGCATGGTTTTCCAAATATATCTGGTGAAATATTCAGAAATCTCGCATGTGGTGCAGACGTGGGTTCGTCTGTGAATGGCTTGGCGGAGTATGTTTGGTTGAGTGTATGCATACATATACATAAATATGTTTACATACTAAGCAAACAAACCGAACAGAGGTGGATGCCGGGCAAATATGTAAGCAACGATAAGCAAACATGAGTGCATATAAAAAGCCCTAAACAAAGAGAGACAAATACAATCGACCATACATGCATATGAAAAATGAAAGTCAACAAGAATGTATGTAGACAGCCAAGCAATATTGAACACGAAGCTACACACACACACACACAAACACACGCACAAGCGCGCGCACGCGCGCCCTGGAAGCTAGGCCCAAGCCGTTTTACTAGGGAAGGCGGGATAACCACGCGGCCTAAACCACCCACCATCCACACAGGAGCCGGGGAAGTGGGACTTGAACTCCCGGCCCAAGCCGTTCCTCAAGCTGTGGGGGCACCTGCGGGCGGGGGCGAGGGAGGGTGAGGGCGCTCGTCTAGTTTCACCTTTCGAATCTAGGGAGTAATTTTGGTGCTTTACGTGTTGGCTGGGAAATCCCAGACTTAGGGTTAGCTTTAGTCACCGGAGAAGACCCCACCTGAAAGCAATGTGCTGTTTTTGAGTATTGTCCACGACCCCCTGTGCTTGCACGAGCAAGATGCTACTCTGCTGTACGCAGACAGCCTCACCTGAAACAGGACTTGCCTTCCGGAAAGGTCAGTGATGTCAGTGACATATCTTTCCTGTTCGTGCTGACTGGCAGCAGCAGCTCCTCGGATCAAGGCGCTCTGCATTGTCTCTGCATTCGTTTGAGCCACTCCTTCCACCTTTCGATGTTCCAGTGTTTACTCCTGCAGCATTGCTATGTCTGTTAGCTTCGTGCAGCGAGGAGCTCGCCAGTGCAAGCACCACAGGATCTGCTATGCAAGCAAGTCGTGTTCTTGCCTTGCTGGGAAGTCGCTGAGCTGTTGGGCTGAGCCAATGCCCTGACACACCACGGACTGCGAAATGCTGCAGCCAAGACCGGTTTCGGGCTACTGTTCCAGCTGATGATGATGTTGTCTGTGCGTGTGTCGAGGTTGGCTTGATGTGTCTGCTAAGTTTTGACTAGACCAAGACTCGTCACTACTGGATGGATCCACTTGACAATGCCGGAATCGGGTAGATGAGATGGAAGTAGGGCTCAGGATACCGGCCAAGAGAGATAGTCTGCAAGACCTGAAGACACAGCCGACATCAAACGTAGCGTTCGGCAGCGCCAAAAGCGCTTTCGAAGCATTCTTTTAAGTCAGAAGTGCGCCATGTGGCGCTTGCGGGCACCGGCGCCGGTCCTCGGAGTAGCTCGCAAGGCGCGTGCGAGAGAGCACGGCGCGTCATGGCATGGGTTTGGAGCTCTCAAACTCCACTAGACTTGGTGACCCTTCACTGCAGCAAGTCTTCAGGCATACACCCGCTGTGCTTCCCTCCTTCGACAGCCCACATGCCAGGCCAGAACTCCAAGAGCAACTGTATCTTCGGTGCTTTGCTTCAGTTCTGGGCGAGGGTGTGGGTGTGAGCAGGCCCTGCTGCCTCTGTGCCTCTAACCCCAGTTTGAGCTGGGAGCTTTGAGAGTCGGTATCTCGATGCGGTTGTGAGGCGCAAAAGCTTGACCTGCAGGCAGCTCTCCACGGCGAGCATGTGTGGTCTCGGCGAAGCTTTTGCCGGCGTCATGTGAATGGTGCCTCGTCTGCAAACTGACATAGGTACAGAGGACTCCAAAGCCGCCTTGAGGCTCTGCCGATGAGAGCGCTGCAGTGGTGGAATTTGTTGCACGCAACCTTCGGTCCATGGATTCTCTGCCAGCAGTGACACTGACCTACGCTCAAAGTCTAGATGGGTCCATTGCTGCGGCTGGCAATGAGAGAGTGCTAATCAGTGGCCAGCAGAGCATGGCCATGACGCATCGGTTCCGCACGATGCATGATGCTATATTGATAGGGGTGGGAACCCTTCTTGCGGACGATCCACAACTGACTGCACGACTTGTTCCAGGTCAGAGCCCTTTGCCAGTTGTCTTAGACTCGAGGCTACGGTCACCAGTGACCTCCCGCCTCGTAGCAGGGGCTGCAGACAGAGCTGCAGCGAGAGCTGCGGATGGCGCAGGGCTCGTGATCGTGACCACAGAGAATGACGGTTGCGTGAAGAAGCAAGAGCGTTATCAGGCGCTGGCCTCCATCCCTGGCGTGCGCCTCCTGGCTGTCCCTGAAAGGGACGGCTATGCCTCCTTGCAGCACACGCTGAATGCTCTGCGCAAGCAGTTCGGCTGTGACTCACTGATGGTCGAAGGCGGTCGAGCTGTCATTGCCAGCTTTCTGACCAACCCGCAGCTTGTCACCAGCTTCGTGGCCACGCTAAGCCCCAAATTCCTTGGTGGTCTGGGTCCCTCTGCCAACCTCCAGAATTCTAGAGACGCTCTTATGAGCCTTCACGATATGCGAAGCTGCACGGTGGGAGAAGACATCGTCGTGTACGGCGCCCCTGCGGGAGATGGCAAGCCTTCGACCCGGCTGGGCACTTAGATCTCAGCGAGTTTTTAATCTTTGTCGATTCATGTCGATTCCGAGATTCCGAGGATAAAAGCTGCGAGCCAGCAGCCCGAGCCAGCCGAGCACGTCGAGCATGTCGAGCACGTGAGCTTACGGAGTAGCTGTCGGATGTGGATCGAGGCTCTGTGTGACGTGATGAGCGCAACTTTGGTATCGCGCAGTCGCCGCAGGCAATCGATGATGAGTGCGAAATGAAGGCGACCATCGACATCCGTGATTTTCGGTGTGCTGCGCGTCATGCTTCGTCTGCTCAACCTTACCGGCCCTTCTTCTAAGCTTCAAGAGGATTGTGCCCCGGAGTCCAAGTTGTTTGTGCGCGAGGTCTACAGCACAAGCAAGCCGGGCCAAGAGATCGTTGCCTTAATCAAGGGCCAAGTGGCTGGAGCGGAAGCTGTCCCGGCAGCTTGGCAGCCTTGGGCCGGAAGTCCTCCGGCGACTTGCCACTCCTCCAAGGTTCGAGTGCACTCAGAATGCTTCACCGGCGACGTCTTGGGCTCGAAGCGCTGCGACTGCGGCCACTCGGATCCCTGTATGAGATCCCGGAAAGCTCGAGCATTGGGTAGCTGCTAGCTTCTTAGAAGTGTCCACGCAGCCCGCATGATGAAACGAGCAAGCTCCACCTTCGAAAGCTCATCATCATATGAGGACCCCAGCTTCACAGTCACTTGGCAGAAGGTGTTCTTTGCCGACATGTGGCCGTTGGACTATGTTGGACTGGTAAGTCGCGGCATGTGTTTTGCAGCTTCCTGTGTGCCTCTGCCGAGGCTTCCTCCACACCCTTCATATGGAGACGAGAGGGGTGCTGCTTTACATAAGAGGCCTGGCTCCAGGGAGCTTGCCGCTACAAACGCAGTGCTGTGCTGAAGCCTCGACAGAAGTTCACTAAGCGCTCTCGCAGAATCCTGAAGCCGCCCTTGCGGGGCGCCACCATGTTGACCTCATACGTGATGCATCCGCTGGTCCCTGAAAGCACTTCAAAGCAGTTCTGCAGTGCAGGGGATGAAGGCCGCGGTATCGGCCTGGTCGACAAGATACGAGCTTACGAGCTCCAGGCAATTCCTTGAGGGTGACACCAGTGGTCACCGGGTTGTGAGTACTCTGCTCTGGCCAGGAGAAAGGTCTGGACACAGCATCTCCGCTGCACGGAAAGTAGCTAGATAGAGTGCTTTCACTCGACATGTGTCGAACGGACTTCGAAGCGAGGGACGGCTTGTAAGGTGGACGCCAATCTTTCGCTGGGTCTCGCTGCGGACCTGCGGCAGCTGGGCCACAGGGGCTCTTAGACCTCAAGCCCTCCTACAAGTACCTTCACTCAGCACCAGGGTTTCTGTCGCTCTAAGGACCTTCGAGGGCTCGCGGAAGGTGCTGGAGGGGTTGGGTGTGCGGCTTCCTGGCAAGACAAAGTGCAGACATGTGCAGAAACCCCCAGGCCCCAGAGGGGCTGTCGACTCTTTTTTCTGACACGGTCTGAAGCGTGTGCAAGCATCTCAGGTCCATCCGGCTCTACACGAACAATCCAGAGAAGGTGGAAGCACTGCAGCCCCTGGCATGCTGCCGAGCTGAAGATAGAATATGTTGATGTGATGTCGGTGTGTGGTTTTCGCAGATTAGTCTGAGCCGCTGTACGCAGATGACCTTCGCCTTCCTGCGCCCCGAGGTGAGGTCTGTCCTATGAACTCCACGCCCAACGAGCACAATATGGATTATCTGCTCACAAAGCGAAATAGGATGAACCATAGAACTCTTCTTTCGGAGCTGGCAACGGATAAGGCTCCCGCTCCCAGCCCCCAAGTCTTGTCACAGGACAGGCCATTTTGAAGTGACTGTCCTGCGGCTTGAGCTGGTAGCGACTCCTTTGAGGGGTTGTATTTCTTGATCTTTCAGGTAGTGGGGCCGTTCATCAGCAGGATCTCTTTGTGATATCTCCAAGCGACCTGAGGAGCTCAGACCTAAGCAAGAGACCCGGTCTTGAATTTGCCTCATGGGTTCATGCGCGAGCGGTCCAAGACCCCCGTGCCTGGGTGATTCCTGTGATTTTTCCATGTGCGAGGCTAGCACTTCTTCGGCCGGCATGGCCATGATAGAGCGGGCGTCCCCTCGTCCAAAATGAAGATATCGCAGTCAAACTCCTTCCGTCTGACAGCGCGTCCTTCTCAGCTCAAGGCCTTCCGTAGCCCAAAGCCGATTGGCTCGAGCGAGCTCACAGTGCCATCCTGGCCTGCCAGAGCCAGGAAGGTAAGCCAGAGTGGAACAAATCAAGATTTTCAAGACCCAATCAGGTTGGAGGTCTTGAAGGTCTTGCCATGATCGATGCGTTGCGTGCCAGCCATGCACGTCTGCCCAAGTTGACGAAGGTGCTGTCAGAGTCCACCTTCATGCAGGCAGGCGAACGGCGTCTCAAGCCGTCTGTAAGCAATCCGAGACACTTGACAGGGCAGGCGGCCGCAGCAGGAAGATCGGCATGTGAAGATCCCGGACCTGACGAAAGCTGCCAAGGCGCTGAAGATGCCAATCGACCACCTGGACCCGGGAGCAGGGAACACGTTGGTGCAGACATGCAGTCATGTGCACTTCCGGAGCCTTTCTGCATGTTGCACAGAACGGCGAAGGCAATTGCAGGAGTTGCGAGTTGGTTGTAATTGAGGGCTTGTTTGTGGTGCAGAGGAGCAGCCCTGCGCATTTCTGGCCGTGTATGACGGGCACCGTGGCCCTCTCTGTGCGGAGTTTGTGGCCAAGTCCATGCATCTGAGACTCCTGAAGCACCTGACCCAGACGACCACAAAGAGCAGCGAGGAGATTGGGTTGGCACTGAAGACGACGTGCCAGGATCTTGATGCACTGCACCGTGATGCAGCCAAGCAACTCTTTTTGGTCATGGAAGTCTCAACCCGGTGGCAGAGGAGTTGGACGAAGAGTTTCTGGCCAAGCACCGAGACTTGGTCTTGAATGGGCTCGGCCGGTCAGTCTGCCAGTCAATTTCGAGTCGTCAGCCGGTTTCTTCACTGAGGCACTGCGGTCGATGGGTGCACGGTGGTTATGGCGCTTCTGACAGGAAGTCTCCTGACAGTCGCATGGCTTGGCGATTCCCGCGCGCTTCTGTGCAGAAGCACTTCCGCTGGGGGCGTTGCAACGGTCCCTCTCACGCAGGACCATCGACCAAGTGACCGCACCTCAGATCATGTCATCCAGAGTTTGGCAGAGCCTGCACCAGTGAGCGTCGCTTCTTCCACACACTCTCAGGCCTCAGCAGAGGCAGATCGGGTGCGAGAAGCTGGCGGCATGATCGTGCGCCTTGGCGTGCCTTAGCGCTGCCGGGGAAGGGAAGGGATGACATGCTCTGCGCAGAAACTTCGACGGAGCAAAGCGAGCTCGGTCCTCGGAATGAGCTTCGCAGACGTTTTACATCGGTGTAAAGACTAGCCCTTTCGTTAGGTGGCGCACGCTGGGTTTGACAATCAGATTCGCGAGCTTCGCAGGGCGAAGGCAGCACCAGGTATTTTAGGGGTTCCACACGGCTTTGCTGCCTATAAGGGGTTCATCTTGATCGCAGCTTGCAAAACGTGCTCACCCTCATGGCCGTTTCTCGTGTTGTCCGACAACGGCGGCTCAAAGAGCTCACAGCCAGAGCCAGGGGAGCGCTGGCGCATGAGAACCTCTGCTTCATGTGCTGGACCCCGCTGCCATGGCCTGTGAAGCATGAGGAGGCCAAGCCGAGCAAAGCGTCCTGCGCTGCGCAACACGGCCAGGAGCCTTGCAAAATTGAAGCACCCAGGCGAAGCACTGGAGAGAGCTTGGCTTAGGCAACTTGATAAGTTGTGCCTGAGGTTGTTATGCTTTCAGGGAGGCCAGAGGCGCAACAATTTAAGGACAATTCACTTGTTAGTAAGATGACGATCGACTGCAAACGGATGAGGATGCCATGCCCTGTGACGCAGCTTCAGAGAAGCCGAGGCATCATGCCCATCGGTTCGAAGCCATTGCACGCAGGGATGTGACCAAGCTGTGTTCATGTCGCACCTGTTCCTTGCTCTTGGTTCCGTCGGGGGTGGCCACTGCCCCTGGTGGCTTGATGTGACATATTCAGCGTGCAGCAACCTTGATCGACCTGCACAAACATCAGGCGGCTTGGGACTCTTCCAACAGTTGCAGAGTCTTGTCAAGTGGGGATGTGCTTCATGTCAGGTACTGCAACGATACAAGACGCAGACGGAGAAGCTTAGTGGTGTTGCTCTGCAGCAATACACTGTGCACGTGGCGGCCTGGGCGGCGCTGGCGAAGGCTTGTAAGATCGAAGTTCGTGGAAGCCCCGCTTGATGTCATGCTCCAGTATTATTTTCGTGCAAGGAAGTCAGTCCTGCAGCTTCCGATTAACAAGCGTTTGCCATCGTTGGGCTTGGTTTGAGCGCAGGGACAGCGAAGAGAGAGCAGAGTGGGTCACGCGCTATTGGATGAGCACCCTTCATATGATCCGAAAGCATATCCTGCTAAGCAAGTTCACTAGTACTGAGACTGACCGTTGTAGGACGAGATATCCTATTGGAGGTATGATATCGAAAGCTGCGGGCATAGTCCTTCTATCATGGATTAGTGATGATCAATGCGGCAGGACTGCCCGTACTTCTGTGCGCGTTGTGAAGCAGGCTTTCCGGAACGAGAGTACCAAAGACTGACGAGCTTTTATCGGCGCAAACTCATGCAGACTCGAAGCGAGGGCAGTACATTGTCAAGGAAAGCAAACCAGACCAAGACAAGCGAGGAAATGCCAAGCCATGCCAAGTCAGGTCAACACAGGAAATGTTTTTGCTCCCGGAGGTTGATGGGAAGTGGCTGCGCAGGGCTTCCAGGCTCCTCCTCCGTCTGCTCGGAAAGGTTGGGAAGGATGGTCATGCCTGGAAAGTCCCATTCTCAAGGGAGCTCAGCTAGGGTCGCCACGCATTTCCAGGACAGACGCAGCTTCCGCCTGCGCCTGGCGCTGCAGCTCGTAGAGCAACGCCGCTTGGCAGTGTCTTAGCGGGAGTCCATCGAGTCTGTGCCTGTTGCTGCCTGCTGCCCAGGCTGGCAGGGCGACATGACAGAGACGCCCGCCGAAGCGCGGGCTGCAATTCAAGAGCATCTCTTGAACATGAAGCGTGTGCCATGTGAAAGTCTGGTCGAGACCGAAGCGGACACGGCGGAGGCCACGGCGCTCGCCTTCCAGAGATACCGTGCTTTCTTTCGCCAGAGCGCTGCAGAGCAACAGGAAGCAGAGGCCACTCTTCTCCTTGGCTCCGTGAGAAGCGCCTGCAGGGCTTCGGACGTCAAAGGCGTCTGCCAGCTGCTGCTGCGAGCCGCATCTTGGGCTTCCAAGCCGCGGCTCGAGAGCAAAGCGCCCGAAGAGCCCGAGGAGCCCAAGGAGACAGAGGCGAAGCCGGCGAAGGCGAAGGCCAACAGCCAGGCGATTATTCGTAGGGCCATCCTGTGGTGCTTGGAGTTCTTGAGTCTGGAAAAGGAGGCCGAAGCCCGTCAAGATGTGCAGCTAGCCAAAGCGCGTCTGAGCAATCTCCTGGCTAAAGCCCAGTTGGAGGTGGTGGCATGTAAGAAAGCTTGGAAGAGGATCGCAGCGTTCGTCGATCCCGATCTCGAGGATGCCGGAGAGCGGAAGTCGCGAAAAGTTGGAAACATCGTAGGGTTGGAAGTTGCGTGGACTCCCGACATGGATCAGCGGATGGTGAATCTAGTAGAAGACGGCTACACTTGGGGGCAGCTGGAAGAGGAGCTGGCCCGTTCTGCCCGGTGGCTTAAGCAGCGGTATCGCCAGTTGCAACGGGATCCCAGCTCTGCATGTCCGACTGGGAGTCGGGATAGCTCGCATGCGCGTGGTGTGGGGCATCGGGCCTTGGCACGGGCGGCTCTTGCAAGGATGCCCAAGCAGAAAGGCACCGTCTACGAGATCTGCGATGAGATCTTGAAACTTGAGACGCAGAAGCTGCAGCACCTAAACTGGACGATGTGCACGGGACCAACACGGACCCAGGTGCAAGCTTCGTAACTCTAGATTGGTTGCTAGCTCGACAGGCCTCCAGGACTCCAGAAGCCTCATCCCCTAACATCCTGAGGTGGAGATGTGGAAGGCGCGTGTTGCCGACGAGGTTTCCAAACATGACGAGTTCTGCATGGTGGGAAAGAGAGGCCGTGAAGGAGTGTGGAAACTGGTTGCAACGGCTACACGTACCTGAGGAGCTTCAGGTCAATGTGCTCTAACCCACACAGGTGGTGCGTTTCACCCACGATATGCCGCGACTCCCGCCCGGGTATGCTGGTTGCAAAAGACTACAGCGCCGTTTTGTGGGTGGAGCTTGTTCCTGGAAGGCTGCCGGGCTTGGTGCCGTGGGTCGGCCCCCGGTGGCCCTGGCAGTGACACGGGCCCTGGGAGATCGTGACTTCAAGGCGCAGCTTCTGGAGCTTTGGAGCTGAGAAGGCTTCGAGGTGTTCTCGATTGGGATCTGAGCAGCTGGATCATGTGACACGTGTAGGTGGACAAGCCCTTACTGATTGCGACGCCCAGCGCCCTTGGCCGAGCTTGCTTGTGCAGCGCAGCTCTCCTTCCCTCCGTGTCGCAATCGCGAGTCCTAGGTCCGAAGCTTTCAGCTGGATGCCTCCGTGCACTTCATTGCGCTGATGTGTGCTGGGCTCTTGGTCAGACGCAGGAGCTCGGAATAAAGGAATGACGCCGCATGATACTACAGGCTCATTGACCTCGATGTCTGCCGAGGATGGAATCACGGATGTTCTCAGCAACGAAGAGGTGTCTTCACGGTTCTGTTGAAGTTCACCTGTTCAAAAGTGGACCAGGATTCTTCCCGCTGGGCCCCAGATGGATTGCTTGTCTGCTCCAGATCATCTTCGAACTGGACTTCTTGCGAGATGCGGCAGACGCATCAGCCAATGCCCGGAAAGCCTGCGGTGACTTGGTGCAGAAGGCCTTTTTGCATAGAGCAATGCAGCTACAGCTAGAGCCTCTGGGTTCTGAGAGCCTCCATAGGTACAATGTCCGTGCCCAATAACGCAGGCGTACTCTCGTGGAAGTCAAGACAATTTGACAGTCGTCATGGCCTTCTTCGAGTGGGAGGAGGGCCTGCAAGTCATGCAAGTCCAGGGCAGAAGGGCATAAGACGGCTTCTCCGGCTCAGGGCGTGGAGAAGCGGAGCTCGGGAGCAGTCGGTCCAGTCGAGGCTTGCCGGCCCTTCGATCCTCCGCGTCAGCCACCGTTGTTTCCACTTGTTGGAATGCCCGTGTGGAGGTGCCACCATCGAAGCGGGCTCGATCAAGCCTCTTGCCCAGAACGTCGCGCTTTCATGTGCACTGGGTCCTCGCAGAGCGTGGCGCATATCGTTGTAGGTCAGAGCAGCTGTCCGGCAAATGCTGCATCAGCAGCAGGTTCGGGCGGGCATGACAACACGGGCAGAGAAAAAACAGTGTTTGTGAGTTGTATGCTTTGTTGATGTATGTAGTCTGGAGGAATCCCTTCCAAGTCCTATTCCAGTCCACTGTGCTGATGCGTTGTTGGTTCAAGCCTGTCGGGCTTCCTGCCAAAGAAAGAGGCCACATGGCAATGGGAAGCAAAGAACCCAGCTTATCCCACATCGATGATCGATGTAAGTGATCACTTTCATTTAGCAACAAGTTCAAGAAGTCGCACAAGTCATGTTCTCAGCAGATGGACCACCTCAGTGCGATGCACATTTTTCAGAGATAGACGCCGCCGTGGACGCATCAGCTGGAATGCTGGATCCTTAGATGCTCAGTCACACCTTGGCAAGAGGATGGTTTGATCACTCTTCGCCAGGATGCGATGGCGGTTGCTGCCACCCCGCCTGTGAATTATCCGCGTGGCGAGCCGTCGGAATCCCAGCGACTTGAAGTCTTGGTCCTCCGGAAAAGCTTCCAAACTCGACATGGCCTGGACGGACGGACGTAGGATTTCAGGCGATTTGAGGCTTCAGGCGTTTGTGTTCTCAGATCGTCCAAAAGGCCTCGTCACCAGTCTTTTGCCAAAGTTGCTCCAGGCCAACACGATGTGCGGAGCACCGCTCCCGGAATCCTTGCAGAAAGAGATCGGCTTTCCCAGTTTTCTGTCTTCTGAGCTCGAGTCTCCAGCAGTTCTTGTCTTGAGGTGCGGGAACGTCCTTGTCGATGCCCTGGTTCTGTCCTGCGGTCGGAGGCTTGTCAGAGATGGCTCGACGAGTGAACCGATTTCAGAAGAAACCCTCCATTTGGATGAGTTGCCCCGGCTTCCCTCACTTCCTGCGCTTAGGCCACGACCTGTGCCTCACGTGTGCGGCCAGTGCTTTGCGCCAGACACGCTCACTGAGCGGCCGGACGGAGCTGGCCTTACGGGATCGTGCTGGGGCTTGGCATCTCCTTCCAGACGTTGCTACCATGTGCTACCGTACCTCTGTATCTAGTATTATCTCGTCCTACGTGCTATGTGCAGCGCGAGGGCGTTTCCACGCACAGGCTCTCAATCAATCATGCAGTGAATCAATCAATCGGTCAATCACTCATTAACTCATTCACTCACTCAGTCAGGCGCTCAATCAGTCAATCAATCATGTATTTCAGGTATACCAGTTTAATCGTGGAGAACCTCACGCTGAAGACCCCATGAAAACTTCTCACGACTGTTGCCCCCCAGGTGCGATGCCTGCTCTGCCCTAGCATCACAGAGCTGTGCGAGGAAGCAGCTGGTCGCTCAGAAAGAAGTCTAGGCCATGCTTTTGAATGCTCTTCAGCATCTGGTGTGCTTCGGTCCGCTGAAGGTTGCCGCCTTGACGGAGCAGAAACTCGAGCAACTGGGCAGATTGATGTTGAGGGTCAAGACGGTTAGGAGGCGTGCGGGCTCTTCAGCTTTGTATGCGCTTTCCTCTCGAACGGCTTCGAGGCTCAGGCCTCAGTAGAAGTTCCTCCCATGCCGTGTGCGAGGAACGGTGGCTTGTTACCTCAGCTGCTACCACAGCCACAGGCAGGGACGGCCATGAAGCTGTAGATGCGTGACCTTTGCATTCCGCCTGCTGCAAGCTTTCCTGCTGGCAGGGATATGCCTGCTTGCGAGGCCTGCTCTATCTGCTCTTCGTGGATTCAGCCTCCAGGTCACCCGTCGCGGGCTTCAGTTGTGGGTTCAGTTTTCTCTTTTTCAAATGTTGGTCGCAACACAGTGTAAAAGCACGTAGTCCTGCAGTGCCTGTTTCAATTGCCACATGCGTCGGCGGTCAGTCTAGGTGCAAGACATCTGCGACTGACTGACTTCTGAAGGTGCACACAGCGGCACAGCTCTGTACCCGCCTCGAATACCGAACGAACGCCAGGGCCCGACGTTTTCCCAACGACGCCCCATGTGTTCCCAAAGTGTCTTCGGGATTGCGCCTTGTTGGCCACGTGGATCCGAGCGTTTCGGCTTCCGAAGGGAACCCATGTCTTCACGGTGCGTCGGATCATCGGAGCGACTTTTCGAGCTTTCGTGCGTTCCACCCCGGCTTGAGGAACCGGGCCTGGGTTGCGGGAGGCTGAGAGCCCTCACAGCCAGGACTGTTGGTGTCAGCTTCTTTGCCTTTGGGGTTCTGAGTGCTGCGTGAATGCTGATGAACTTCGGTCATGGAAAGTCCGCATAGCGCACAGCTGCCGAGTTTGCGAATCTGTGGATTCACCAAGCTCATATCCTGGAAGAGCGGACAGGACGGCTCAGCACAGCGGGGCATCGCAAAAGCGGCCCTCGCACGGCCCCAGCAGGCCAGCGTGATTCCCTACCGGGCTCGTGCGGGTGGTTGGATGCAGCTTGGGGCTTGGGTTCCTGGAGTCTGGCAGGTGTCGTCGACCTCAGTCAGCCCGGTCCAGTGGCAAAGAACACCGCCTGGTCCTCATGTCATAATAGGCAGAAAAACTTGCCGCACTGGTGCCTCGCATTAGAATCGTCATCAATGTTTTGCAGATACACAGCCAGACGGGCCGTTTGCTGTCATCAAATCGTGTCCAGTCTCGAGCAAGTGGCACCCAGGGAACCGCTGGCTGTGGAGCCGAGTCGCCCGTCGGGACGAACCGTCCATATCTACAGGCCCGTGTCACGCCAATCAGGTAAGTCAGGTGGCGCAGTGGCTCCTCGAGCTTATCAACAGGTGCCCAGAGCATCCGGAAGAGCCAGCCACTTACTTCTGCCAGATCCTAAGCGAGGCTATGAGACACGCAGAGCATGGACACAGACAGACCAGTTCAGAGCAGCATGTATGGTTTGCTTGCCATCAGGTGCAACCTGTGAGTGTCTTTGCATCTGCGCTGCCTCGCGGCTGCACTGATGTCCCTCCTACGTCGTTAGTGCCTGTTCGTGATTGGGTCAGCTGATCTGGAGGAGTGTGTGATTCAAAAGAATGGCCGACACCGCGATCACGAGGTGCGGAGCTGGGCCCTGCAATGCATTGCAGTCCGTCGGAAAGCTCGCGTCGCAGCTTGCAGCAGGTCTTGCGTGTGGCAAAAGCACACGAGGCGCGGTTCCAAGAGCCCGCAGCGAGTCACATCGAGTTCTGAGACGTTTCGAGACCGGGAGTCCGGGCTTGCCAGGTTCTGAAGTCCAGAGCCGGAGCGCTGCTTGATGAGGCAATCGCCCTCGAGGCGCTGCTGCCTTCGCCGAGCCCTGAACCTTGCGATCTGCCACCTTGCTGGAGGATGATTTCTCCATGGTCGGAGACCGACTGGCCTGGCGAAGAAAGGCTCAGAGCTGCAAGTGGGGCTTAGGGAAAGCACTGCCTGTACCGAGTTTCGCTTGAAGCTTAGCCGAGCATGCGGCCTGGCACAGTCTTCGCTTAGGGACTTCTTGGCAAGGGTGCAAGGGTTCCGTTCTGTGGAGCAAAGCCGCACCCATGAAGACCGCACAGCAGTGCTGAAGCCGACGAGGACATCGAACGCGCCGCAGCGCGCGGGCGCGCAAGCGTGCGAAGCGCCTTTGCACGAGCTGAGCCCTCAGTTGCGTGGAGTCTTGCTGGCATGTCCTGATGTTGCTTGACTTGCTTATCAGCGTCAATCCGGACGTGGCCAAAGCCAGCATTTCCTGCAGCACATTTTCGTCCTTTTCACTGCGCATGAAGCTGTAATGAAGCTCTTCCTTCGTCGTTGTCGAGGTCGTCGTCGTCGTCCTCCTCCTGCTCCTCCGCCTCCTCCTCCTCCTCTCCCTCCTCTTCCTCCTCCTCCTCCTCCGTTTCCTCTCCGTCCGGTTGCCGGCTTTTGCCAGTGTCGGCGTCGGCGTTGTCACCGCCGTCGTCGTGTCCCCCCCTCTTCCTCCTCGACTCAATGTCATGGCGCGTGAGCACTCGTGGACATCGTTGTTGTCATGTTATTGATCGTCAAACAGAGCAGTCTTTTGACCTTCGCTGCCTTCACGTTCGTGGTTGACTCTCAGCTTCTCAACACAAAATGGATCCGGCGAGGTCCGAGCTCAGCTGAATGAGCGCGAAGCCGAACTACTGGAGCCACTCCCTCAGCAACTTGAAGGCTTTCCCTTGAGGGCGCCTTCACTGCTTTCAAGCCCTTAGGCTTTAGGCTCTTCAGGCTTCAGTTGGCAAGCTTGAGGCGAGATTGCGCGGATTTGTTATAGTATAGTCTGTACCTGCCATGTAAACGAGCATTGTGCCCCCTGACCTTTCATGTGCGGCCGAACCACAAAACGCCCTTTTGGGCTTCAGGCTTCAGTTTCATCGCAATTTCTGGCCTTTTGGCCACATGAAGGGGTCACGACAAAACATTTCAGAACAATCACTGAAGCTACCTCGGCAAGAGTCCTGGAGTCGGCCTGCCTCGCGGTGGGAGTGGCCATGCAAAGGCGGAAGCTGAACAGGGAACTGTCCTGGCATCTCGCTTGGGGCGGGAACTTGACTTGCTGCTGGAGCATTGAGCCAGTGCTGTCACTGTCGCCAGACATCGGAGCAATGTGTCCTGTCGGGTTGTTGCATCAAGTTGCATCTTGGTGCGGGTTGCGGCCCAGCAGGTCCTTGGATGCTTACGAGAGCGGCTCTCTGTCTCACATTGACACAGGCACTGCGCATGGTTTGGTCCGATCGTAGCGTCTTGCACAGCCTCAGCATTCCCGACAAGCAATGCAGCTAAGTCCTCAACCGCAGGACACTCCGAATACGGCAGCCGGCTCAACGAATTGCGGAAGCTGCAGGCAACTTGAATTTCTTTGTCGCGGATTCTGCGAGCCGTCGAGATCGCAAAGCGGCTTTTCGAAACGCCAGGAGAATCTCCGATCCCGCTGCCGCAACGACGGAGATGCAGTTGAGGCCTTCTGGGGATGTTGAGCGATCTGGGATGCGTTTAGGTCGTGAGCACGTTGGCGTTTGCAAGTGGTCCACTGCCGCGTTGTCTCGTCGTGCGAAGAGAAGATAGGGTGCAAGGGTGTTAGCTGGCCATCTCAACCGACAGTGACATGAATCGACCAGTGTCAGTCATGGCGCAGACGGTTTCGAAGAGTGAAACAACTGTGAAGTTCTCACTGCCATGTCCTTGCCCGGAGCCAGGCGCTGAATACGTTCTCAACTGCAAAGGCTGCCATCGCGAGCCTCAGGGAGGCTTTTCGCCAGGTCAGCGTGACCTTTCTACCTACCTACCTGCCTGCCCTGCCTGCCTGCCTGCCTGCCTGTCTACCCTCTCTCCCTCCCTACCTGCCTACCTACCTACTTATTTCAGGATCTCCAGCGTCTCTTGACTGTCTGGTTCAGCTCAGCAATGACATGCAATCACTATCAATCCCGGACTGCTGACCTGAAGCAAGCAATGCTACAGCACATGTGCTTGCCAGTGAGGAGGAATTCAATGCCGCGTCTCCACCAGATGAATTCGTCGGGCTGGCCGGCAGGTCCACGGCGGTTGCCATCGTCTCCCCTCTCCCTCTCCCTCTCCCTCTTCTCTCTGACGGCTGTTCTCGTTCCAGAGTCCTTGTTGTTTGCCATCGGACTCTAGTCTGAGAAGTTTCTCTCATCTCTGCTCCGCCCAGTGCCCGAGCGGAGCTGGATCTCCACGCCGAGGGCCTCGCAAGCCTCGAAGAGGCCAAAGACCAAGGAACCCGTAAATCTCATACAAGCAGGGACCGGAGTGGCCTGACTTCAAGCGGACGGTTCTGTAGCTTCACCCTCCATTGTGAGTGCTGTGGCCATCGGCTTCGAGCTCCAAGGCTGTAGAGCTGCGATTGACTCACCCCACCGGCCCCTCTCGAGATGTCCAGAAGCTTGCGTTCCTCTGCGTGCTCGAGGAACTCGAGGCACTGGGCACCGCATGACTTTCATCTCGGTCCAGGAGAATGACTGAGCGACGTGCTCCTATTCCCGCTTGAAAAGTTTGGAAGTTCCGTCATCAAGTCTTACCCATGTGCTGACAGAATCCAGACGTCCGGAAGGACGTATTGTGCGTTCTGGCATCATCGGAGGGCACGACAGTTGATGACTGGTTTCGAGGTTCACGGCCAAGACGAAACAGGCGCCGCAGACTGGATCGGAAACAAATGCATCGCAGCTTGCTTGGGGCAGGTACCTCGTGAGAACCATTGATGTGCAATTGCTAAGCGTGCTTTGGTATCCGATCAAAGCCTCAAGATGCCGCGCAGTGCGGCCTGAGCCCACCTCCAGCGGTCATGACCACTCCATGTAAATTCAATACTAATGTTCTTGAGGCCGTGGCGAGCCTTTGTGAACGCGGAGTGGACGTGCCACAAAAGGCGCCCTAACATGCTTTAAAGCTGCAAATACATGCGCGAGGCGATGCTGTTGTGTAGTTGAGACAGGTTACGCCGCAAGGTTCGGGTTCCTGGGATCCCTTGGGGCAGAAGTCCCATCGCTTCAGCCTGCAAGAGCACAGCCCGCCAGAGTGAAACGTTCGTCCTACCTATATACGCGGAAGTGTCCGCCGCATGTGAGAAGTGAGTGTACATACAGGCTTCGTGGGTAGCGTCGCTTTGTCCAGGTTTCGGCTGGAGCGGCTGCCAGCAGGCGATGTGTCGCTGCTGGTGAACAGACGGATGAAGCAAACCCCTTGAAGCGATTCGTCTTGTTGATTACTTGTTGATTTCCGGAGACGAGAACGTAGTCTAGGTGTGGCCGGTGGGCGACAACACGACCGTGACGACACGTGATGACACGATGCCTGCGCCACTTGGGATTGTGTAATACCCCACGCCTTTTGGAGTAGTCAGTTTGGAGTAGTCTTGACATGTCCCTGTTCGGGTTCTGGATCGTTTTCTGTGGGAAAACCGATAAGAAGAAAATGACACGAAAACGGAACATCCAGCATCTTGTGCCATGTGTGATAAGCTTTTGCGGAGTCTGAAAATATCCTGGATGGACATAGTGCTTACTTAGAGAGGGGTCACACGTCGTCATAATCATCATCATCATCATCATCATCATCATCATATCAGCATCATACGACTACTACCACTATTAATACTGCTACTGTACAACAACAACAACCACAACTACTACTGCTACTACTACTCTGCTATTGCTACTGGTGCTACTACTACGTTCAGAGGCAAGTCTTGCATTTGGTGGTTCTGGAATGCAGGCTGCCGCAGAACTCCATGCCACAGCTATCCTTGCGCTTCGGTAGCATTGGATCGATTATGCAGCAGGGCTTTTCACAAAGCTCCGAGGCCCAGACCAGGAGGCGCTGGATATCTGCCGACAGTGAGACAGGGATGATTTACCATGTCCGGACGGCTTTTGCTTCTGGGAGGCTCTCATATGATGTTCTGGCGCGTGTAAGCCAGATTGCCATGCTTGCTGGTTTGCCTAATACGTACTCACGTCGTGATTATCCCAGACATCAGCAGCGGCGTCCCTGCCTGACGTTCCTCCCTGCTGGTGCGACCTTGGGGAGCCTTCCTGTTCTCACCGAGACCAGGAAGCTGGGCACGATCAAGATTGTGATATTGGTCCTGCTCCTTCACTCAGCGTGGTGTGTAGCTGGGAGCCATGTCATCTGCAGGCAAGCTAGCCGGCAATTCGTTTCCTTGTGCCTGTGTCGCCAAGCATCTGGCCTGGCGGTGCGAACAAGGTGAGTGGTGCGGTCTGAAGGAGCTGAGAATTCGGGAACCTCGTCTGTATGAGGGAGGTCGTTTCAGAGAATGTCGCAGCTCCTACAGGCTGACGAGAAGCCGAATTAGAGTCCCTCATTCCTGCCGGGACATCTGCAGCCACTGGCCGAATGCTTGACCGTGGCAGCAGTTGTGATTCCCGTGGCAGCGCGTTACATCGAGGGAAGTGTCATCCGGCTAAGTCCTGGTTCTCCAGAGCCTCCGAGTGTTGTTCGTATCATGAAGCCATTCCTCGAGCTCTGCAAAGCCCAGCCGTGTTCTTGCCTCGATGGCACGCATGTGGACATGTGTGGAGCGCACCGACGTCAATGTTCAGACAGCTTCCGGGCACCTGCAAGGGATTCTGGATAAGCATCCCCGCCATTTGCCGTTCGCACCGTAGCAAAGCCTGCTGCAGATATCACGAAATCTCCTTTAGGAGAGCATTCCATAACTTAAATATGGCGCCTGGTACCCAGACTCATCCGTCTTCATCTGGAGGGAATGCACTTTCATGAGAGCTTGCCTGCTGCAGCGGCGGCATGAGAGGCTCAAGCGAAGACTCTGCCGTTGCCCGAAGCACGGGCATGAATAACCAACAAGCCGTCACAACGCTGGCCCTGCCTCTTCGCCTGAATCTGTAAAGTTGGGGAAGGGGGACATGGCGCAATCATGACAGTCTGATGCAAGCATGGTCTTTCCGAGGAGGGGCATCTCCAAGAACTACACTGTCAGAATGGTACAGTACTTCTTGGACACAGCGTGTGGAGACTTCGAGTGGAAGCGTTACAACTTCCTTTATCTTCCACGGCGTGGACACTCCCATTCGGGCCTGGCAATCGTCAATTTCATCGACGCGCAAAGCTGTGCAACGTGCGAGTGTCGCCTTCGTCTGCTGCAAAGCGAGGGCGTGATGAGTGGCATCAAGTCTATCGGAGAATCTTACATCCAGGGATTTGCACAGCTCTGCCCTCAATATGTCACAGTACCGGTTCTTGCGCTTGCTGTCAGGGCGTGTTGATGCTAATGCTGGAAAGTCTCTGTGGAACGAACATCAACAATTTCGAGTTTTGTTTGTGGCTCCTGCTCAGGAACCTAGCGTATTACGCGGCGTTGGTGAGTGAAGATGCTCGGGATGCCAACCACGTGCTTGTGCTGATCTCGGCCTTAATGACATAGCCAACTGACAACAAGAGCAACATGCTCTGGATTAGGCAGAAGCCAATGTATGGACACCGAATTTCGGGATAATATTGATGTATCCGGGCACTCGCTGCAAGCTAGGGTGCTGTAGGCAAATAGTCACCCGCAGCTCATAGGAAGAGCCGTAGCTCATAGGAAGAGCCCAGCCGCATCCAAGCTGATACTGCTGACAAGGACAATGGGAAGCCTGCCGACATTAACAGGATGATCCGACGATATGTGACCCCAACTATGATGCAATGGGCAGTTCAGCGGCTTGTTGGCACACATCCTGTTCGGATCCCGGTCAACGCTATCGCTATGAAACCTAGTAATCTAGGTGTTTCCGACGCGGTCCAAGAGAGCCACCGAAGCTCCATGCTCAACGACCGAAGCCATAGGTGATTCAAGTTTTGCTGATGTCTGTCGTAGAATCGGAGAGAAGAATCGCGAGATCGACATGGGAATCATTGTGCAGGTTGTCCAACCACGCTCTCAGGAGGCATTTTGTCACCTGTAAAGCATGTCGCCTGACACCTCGATGCGAGTTCTGCCGTGAGCGCCCAATAGTATCGTCCGCAACCGCTTTCTGGCCCCCAATGCATATTGATTGGCAGCTGAAGTTATGTTTTCTCTCTTCCAGGCCCTTTAACAGCTAAAGTTTAGCTTGTCTTTGTCGGCCGAATCTCCGTCATAGCATGCATATCTTGTTGCTTTCATGGTCCCGTTCCAGCCATCCAGTCCGGCCCCGACAGAACCATCACCATGCCACCTTGCAGCGTCGCTGTGCAGCCTTGCTCTTGCTCCCGATTGCGATGGTCCTGGGAAACTGCACGCCCAAGAGCGTCTTTAACAAAAGTGGCCCAGCACTTTGAATCGCTCTTCGATCCTTCGCAGTTCGCAGGCTACATGATGGCGGGACCCTTTTCCGGGTCAGTTCAGTCAGCATTCGGTGTGTGGCAGTCTTGTACACAAGAATTCCCCTTGCCCGAACCTTGACACCTTCTATCCGAGGCAAGCCGAGGCGGGCGGGCCTCTGCTGGGTTTGGGATATCTGTCCAACAGGCCCAAAGATGTTTCGAACCCCTGGGGCATCCTGAAGCCTTGGATGCTGGCGTACGAGACCTTAGTACAACGATGGGAGGCAACAAAGATATTGCTGCGCTTGTGTTCCTGGATCTAGCTGGGCTTGTCCGGTTTCAGTTTGTAGCTGCCAGTGTGCCCATGGATGCAGAGTTGTAGAACTTTGCAGAAGGCACCGAACGCGATTCTGATGATGGCAAGTGTAGTTTGCCGGAGCATGCTCAATACTTAATTTCCCTCAGCAATCACCTTTGCGCAGTGGTTTATTTGTGGTGCGTATCCGACAAAACCAGACTTCATCTCCATGTTCATGGTGCCACCCTGCAGCCTTTATGTGGCTTGAGTTTATCATCGGCTACTGCAGGACGTGTGTAGGCAGGTGTCTTGCTCGAGGATTCCGCCTCTTTCATGGGCTGTTGTGTAGGTGTTGCAGAGGCGTCCTACTGCAGCCTCAGCCTCACGATGCTAAATGCTGTTGATGTGGCACGGAGGCGCTTTACAGAAGCTCGGAGAAAGGTAAGGAGCAGGCTGGGGAAAGTTGCTCTGGATGTGAACTGGAGGTGCATGAGGCACATAAGGCTATCAGGATCGGCCATGTTTTCGACTCAAGGGTTTAGGGGACTCAAGGGAAGATACTGTAGCTTCTCGTGCTACCAATGCTTCACATCCAGTGATTTGATGTACGCTACAGGTAGTCTGTGACATGATCCTGTGGTGCACAGCGTCGTTAACCTTTCTTCCTGCGCGGTGACCCATTGGGCTCTACGGGGCCCTCTTGAGCTTTCAGCTACTGTTTGCAGTGCGTAGAGAACAGTCCTTTGCAAGCCTTCTCCGTTGTCAAGTGAGCGTGATGTCCTGCTCAAAGTGGTTCCCAGTGATTCCTGCTGGAACTCATGTCAGGAATGGACTCCCGCATGCAAAGTCTGGTAGACTTGGTAGACCTCCCGAGGTATTGCAATCACGGTGCAAGTCCAGATCTTGTCGATTTTCAAATCTGCTTGAAGACTTGAAGCCTCGGCACATACGCCAAGCAAGCGTATTGCGTAGCACAGAGTTCCGGCTCCTTGCCAGGGCCTGAGGTGCGAGAGCTCCGAGGCTGGCATCGGTGTGGGAAGCGGGGATCATGTGCTGAACGCCGAAATTTTGGGGCATTTTCACGGCTTCGGGTGAAACAGAGTCCTGTTTTAGGGTCAGCTGCTACTTTGTCAGTTCGCATACGGGCAGAGGGTGTCCTAGATTGTCGTTCACGAGTCGCCGAGAGCTCAGGAGTGTTCGGATCGTGATGATCGAAGATCTCACGGCTCCCAAGTTGGGATGGATCTTCGGCAGCAAGAACCAATCGACACACCACCACTCCACCACCCCTAGCTGTTAATGCCGCAGGTGCCCGACAAAGAGTCGATCCTTGTCGTTCTGTTTTTTGTCCTGGTGGTTGTGTTTTTCTTCAAGATACGCACTTCTTATGGGTGTTTGTTGTGCCCATGCTAATCTCGATTGGTTCGAGGTTTGCTGCTTTGGCTGTGCTACAGACTTCCAGCTCGAGTTCAGGTCACTTGTGTTTGCGTCGACGACAAAGATTGATGTTGGTGAGTATGATGTCGAAGTGACTGTTCCAGGAAAATCTGCTGCAGAACTGTTCAGCCGAACGGAAGAATGGTCTTGGAACTTCAACCTCTTCGTATTGTTCGATGCACAGGCTGCACGCGATCTTTTGAGCCACTTGACGAGCCAGGAGGAAACAGAGAGTGGTGCACCTGGGTGGGTTTGGCGCCCCTAAGGCCCTAAAGTGTCGCAGCGAAAGGCGACCAAGACCTTGCTAAGCAGCACAGACGGAAGGCGATGCTGAAGTGGCTGCACCTGCTCCATCACAGAAAATCCTCCGACAACCAAGGCCGTACCTGTAAGTGATACTTCAAATCAAGCTGCTGGATGGCAAAAAAATCGATGTGTCTCAAGCCCAAAGCAACGACGTTCCGTTTGAGCATAGACAGAGCGACCCACAAAAAAGTCTCACGGCGGACAAGAGATGGCCCAGAAGGCAAATTCCCGAGTAGGGAGAGGTGCATGCTCTTGGGTGTTCAGAAACAACATCTTCTGTATGAAGCGGTCAGAACAGTCAGCACTTGACAAAGCCGTTCTTGTTCTTGTTGTTCCTCTTCTTCTTGTTCCGGTTCTTGTGCATTTTTTCTTCTTGTGGTTGGAGTTGATGTTCCGACGAGACGGACGACACAAAGGGCCATGATCGTAGCTTTGACTTGTTCTTGGGCGACTTCAGGTTCGACGACGTGGCATCACGAGTGATGCTGTCGCTCTTCCCGGCCCAGGTGCTTGTGACCGTCAGAAGTGCTAGTCGGGGTTTGCGAAGTGCAGAGATGCAATGCTTTGAACTTCAGCATGTGTCCAAAGCGAGCATTCGTGTGGTGAGAGAGTTGGCAAGTTGCCGTATTGTCTTGCTCATAGAATCAAGCAGTGAACCTCTCGTAGTTAACTTTGAGATCAGTAGCTCCGGCGCGACAGGGTTTCCACGTGCCCGAGTTCCAACGGATGAGGAAGCTGAGCAGATTCGACGCTATTTCCGCTTGCAAAGGAGCTCGGATGACGATTTCGTAATCTTTTCCTTGTGAGTTCTGTCGAGCGGCCCCGCAATTCACAGACAGTGCACCGTGGGTTCACCAGCAAGGCACATGATTCTCAAACTGTTAGCTATGGGAGAATAGAAAACCAAGCAAGTGGGCGATTTTTCTGTGCTCCCGGTGCGTGTTTGGAGCGATTGGAGGTCTTTGCTCCCGTTTCGACTTTGATGAACACTGGCCGCGAGCCAGCTGTTTCTATCATCCACATGCAAACCTAAGCACAGGGGCATGTGGGATGCCCCGCAGCTAAAACTGGGATCTTCGTCGACACAGATAGACACAAAATGCATTTTGTGACTGAAGACACGCTGTTGCGTTTTCGCCTTGCAGAGCTGATGCGCCATGGAGCTAGAGTTGGAACCTGTGGAGGGACCGAGATCCAGTGTACCGAATAATTCTACGGAGTTGATTTTTGCCTGATTGGCTTTCAGGATCAGGTTGTGTTGTTCCTGGCCGCGTACATGGCATAACACACTTGTGCATGTGGCGACATTGCTCCTGCGTCGAGTGTGCCATTGGAGTGTGCTTCGACGGATGGAGCATCGAAGCAGGCAAATTGCCCAAGATGCCAGGAACAAGACCAAAGCCATTTTCGAGCTTGCGTGTCTGCTCAACTGCAACACGTTGCTCTCAAGATTAGTTGCTGGCTTCCACCCTCTCGATAAGGAACGAGCGCACGAGGTCGATGCCGACTTGATTCCAAGTACTGTGTATCATGCAGTAGCACTTAACCTCTTGCCTTGTCCAGGCTTGCTGATTTTGGAAGAGGGTGCCAGATTTGGCTGGTAGAATGCGGTCGAATCCCGTTTGCCTCCCTTTCTTATTCTTCTCAATATTTCAATACCTAGTCGCCAGAATTCATGCAAAGGCCAGCAACTGGCGTTGTCTGAACGGTTCAGGCACGATGTTTCGATGTTCAGGTTGGGCATGAGGAACCGTACGACAGCACGAGTTGCTGCACAATCTTCTCAGCAGAGAAAAGCGCAGGCACAGACTGCTTTGTGCGAGATTCTCGACGCTGGATCAAAGTCAGCACAGGAACCGGATCGACAGATAGCTCGTCCGAGGCTTCAGCTGTGTACCTAGAATGTGCCAGCTTGGGTGCATCCCAGTGCGATTGTTGCCTCAGCCCAGGGAACCAGGCCTGAGACCCGGATACTTGTGCGCCGAGATACCACCTGGCGTGGTGTACGCGGCAGTTGCAGTATGGAGCAGAAAGGATCCACCATGCCCCGTCGGTGCTTGTCTCGTGTGCGTGAGCGATGGGGCGACGATGCTGGGTAAGATGCTTGAGTGACGGCTTTACCGACGTTGCCCATCATTGGAGATGCGGCCAGTTGCTAGCAAAGCAGTCCACAAGTCTTTACAGTCACAAACTCATTCCGTCTGATCGAAAGAGGCTTCTTTTCGAGGTGACATCCTGATAGGGTCTAGTTGCAGCAGCATTGACAAGCAGATACCTCAGACTGCTGGAGGACCGAGAGGGCTTAGGGTCTTGTATCTGGATATCGACGCAGCCGCCAACGGCCCGACGGCCTGGTCATGCGCCTCGGCTCGGAGTGGTCCTGGCTGTGCTTGAGGGAAAACGAGGTGCTGTCACGCCATCGGTCAAATTCAGGCGCTGTAGAATCTGCCATGGAATGCCATACAACCGTTGAAGAACGCAGGCCTAGTGGCCTAGTACTTTTTTTGTCGCTTGAAGACCATTGCAAGCACATGCTTGGTCACAGCTGAGAGTACTTGATGAAGCAACTCCAACAGCTTCTGCAACGGCTGAAGCGACCTTGATTGCAAAACCTTCTGTGGGAAGTCCGTGCCAAGGTTTCGCCGCTGTGGATTTCGCAGGGCACGAGCCTCAGGTTTCGTACGACTGCGACTGCGACACTGGGCAGACGCTTTCAGAGTTGGCACTGAAGCAACACTTCCTGTGGAATTGGTTGAACATTCCCCATTCGGCCCGCCAAGAGCCCTCTGCCCATTGGCAGCAGACACAGCGGCTCAACGTAAATCTCTATGCCCTATGCTGTCTCCACACCCTTTCATCCCTGCCTTCTGTGTGGTTCGAGTCATACCAGACTAAGCTGCGACAGGCACAAAGGCGGAGGAAGCAGAACTCGACTCGAAGTGGTCGTTTCTCATTCGGACCAGTCCTCATGTCAGGCAAGCTGGCAAAGACATGGCCTGGCATTCGGATGTGTGGCAGTGTCATCCTCGGAGCTGTGAGGTGAGGTTGTGATTCAAGCAACACGTGCTGAAGCTGTCCTCTGACGGAGCATAAGACACCTTCTATCCTATTCAGAAGAGTTGGAAGTGGCAGAGCGTGTACGCTTCAATGTTGGCGTTTGAGCATGCAACACAAGAATGAGCCATAGCCGGACCTGTGTTTGCGTCAGAGTCTGCGTGCATGCAGACGCGCGTGAAGGTGCGGCAAGCGACCCCATCCGAAAGAACGACTCGTAACTAGCCTGAAGCACTAAACCCTTGCCATGTCTGCCAAGGCGGGTGCATTGCGCCACAACGTCGTGAGCCCTGAGGAGAAATTTGGTCTCCCACTTCTCCAAGTCAAAGGTTGGGCTATGGCAGGCTCTATGCCCGCAGACAGATTTGGCTCAATCGTACATGATGGTGTTCAAGCAAGCCAGTAAATAATCTGCAAACTCGTTGAAGCTGAACTTCAAGGTAATTACAGCTTCCGCTCCAAGAACCACCGGGGGCTAGTAAATGAGCTGAGCTAATCCATCACAGAGGAAGTATCCCAACATAAGCAATAGCTCTGCAGCCTGATCCGCAGCGGGATTCTTGGAGAGCTTGCGATGTCTGAGAAACCTTGCAGTCACTGCTGTAGCGTAGTTGATTGGGCGCGTGGCGCGTGGTAGGTATGTTGTCGCAGTTCAGTGTTGGTGGCTTTTCTTGAGCTAGATCTTGCTTACCAAGCCTCGCTTGCGCCATAAGGCTGAATCCCAGGATGATTCCGAATCCACAATGCCGTGGTGTCGGTGGCCTAGGTGGTCTAGGTGGCCCAGGCTTTGGCATCCACAACGCCATCCGTGGAAATGCAGAGGCGAACCCTGAGCCATGGAGCATGGAAAGACTTTCTCTGAGAGTCCTTGAGTATCGAAGCCGGGGCAGCGAACGTACGTGTTTGTTGCAAGCTGGAAGCCGCGGTATGAGTCTTCGTTCGGTATGTACTATCGCGCTCAATGCACCTGCGTGCAGAGAAGTCCATATATGTTGATGCGGGTGCAAGAGGGTTTGGACTTGCAGCTCGCCCGGATTGGCGTGAGATTTTAGAGCATGACCTTGGCATCCAAGGAGTATGTCCCATCTTCCACACAGACGGATGAGCAAGGCGGAAAAGCGGGAACATGTCAAGCTTTGCTCTCTCCAGCAACTCCAAACGTTTCCCCTTCAAGCAGTGCGTCCTCAACGCCCTCTTTACCATTGTGACATCACTGGACATCCGTGAAGAGCAAAATAAACCACGAACTTCAAAGCCAACAGCCCCCTGCAGGGAATGTGACTTTGAGTGCCTGGGCCAGCTTTCTGCCAGCAGAAATGCCGCTTGAGCATCGATCCAACAGCCTTCTCCGGTTTTTTGTGCTTACGGGAGCATCAAGTATGGCAGGTTCTCTGCCGTGTAGCGCTGGCACAATTCGCCAGTAGGGAACCAGTGGAACTAACCTCTCCAACTCTAAAATTGATGGCGGCATTGGCTCTTTCGATGATTGTGGGGCAGGGGCTTCTGACGAGGAGCAGCACTGAAGCCAAGATAGCCATATTCAGACAGAAGAGTCCCTGTAGACATGTGCACGTACCGCCCCTAGAAACATGAGAGAGAGAGAGAGCGATTCGGCAGCGGCCGAGCCGGATTTCTTGGAAAGGAACGATGCCAGTGCTTTTTGTCTTGCCTCAAGCCTCTGCAGCCAGATTTCACATCTTTCAAACTCCGTCAGGTCCGGCAACTTTGGCCAAGCCTCTGTCTGGCCGACGGAGGTTTTCCTACCAAGAAATGGCAGCTCGATCGGACTCAGAACTGACTTGGTGGCTCTTGGTAGTATGCTAGCAAGAGTCGACACAGGTCAGATTCAGATCTTGGAGGCTTGGTGCCGTGGACGCAAGAAAAACACGCATGCAGAATGCAGGCGCCTGTTTTGGCACCAGGTATAGGCGAGGTACCGCTCAAGAAGCCGACATCTAAAGACAATGTTCGCCCGCGTCTCTGCTTTAAGTGGACAGCAACCTTTCCCAATTTGTGGTAGTGTAAACGAGCCCAGGCAAGTATGCCAAAGGCATCGTGGAATAATGGGGAGGAGTTCATGTCAGGTCAGCCATCGAAATCGTAGCTGAAAGGAACGGTTGGCTCAGGTACGGCCACCCGTCCGACCCCAGTCGCCGCATCGATGTCTCCGCACGCGTGTCCGAGTTTCTGCGGGGTCCTGGGCCCCTCGGTGCCGGGACGCTTGAAAGCACACAGCAAACAAAAACCGGACTTGCAAATGCTTCAATGATCCGCTAGAGCTGCGAGGTTGGCGAACTTGGTGCGCGAAGGCTGTTACAGCTTCCTGGCTGACTTGCATGGACCTCACGTAGACTGGCAAGACATTGTTTGTTCTGATTTCACTGCAAGCCATGCTTGTCCAGCTGAGGGGGCGACCAAGTCAGGCTGGAAGCCACCTCCAGCTTTTGGGGCCAGGACTGCCCGTTCAACAAACAGCACCGAAGTGGGCAGGTAGGGCATTCGGGATTTGATGCCTGCAGAGCATTGCTTCGACCAGCGAGACAGATCGTGAAACCAGGACCCAGCACCCTTTGTCTGGAAGAAGCTCATGGTTCGCTACCGGCCATCTTCACATTGATCCAGACAGTGTTGCTAGCCCGATCTTACCCAGAAGCAGAAGCAGAAGCGCGACGGTCTCATGCTGTTCTTGCTCTCCGAGCTCTTCGGCAGTGACGCTGGCTCGCTCCGAAACTCCGGTCAAAGGGCCACTGCTTCCAGTCAAAGTCGCACGCCCCGAGCGGCAAGAATGTTCTTGATTGATGCTACATTCACTCGCTGCCAACACGTGCGAACAACATCAGCCCTGCGGTCGGGAAAGCCCTTCTCGATTGCGAAACAGTGATAAATCCGTCCCAAGCCGCTTGGCGAGGAGTCACCGACCTATGTGACAGCCTCAGGAGCACCTGCCCTGTCCTTTCAAGCGAGTTTGTGATCCGTGGCAGCTGCTACCGTTCCTTGCACCCACCGTGCACCTCAAGCACTCGGAGCTCAAAGCGCTCGCTGAGGTGCCGCCTCCTCGCTGGCGGGGGACCTTTGCAACTTTGCCCTCCCGACCTCCTGAGAGCGAGGCACTCGCTTTTCTCTCTTCCGGGAGTCGATGGTTCATCACTGCATTGAAAACAGGCTGGGCAGCTTGCATGGGCCGTGAAACACCTGAAGGCCGGGCATTGCCAGGGGCAGGGGCTGCAGCTCTGGCTCGCCTAGGCCTAGGCCCGCCTCCCGACAGGTCGACAAGGTGCGCAGCATCTTGGAAAGATGGCCGCATGGTGCAGCCGCGCCCTCAGCTAGGCGGCTATGCAATCGGCCATTCATATGAGTAGCTTGACGGTGAGCGGGAGGTGTTGATCGATGACGAAAGCCAGCACCTCAAGATCTAAAGCCATGCTGCGGAATGTGAAAACCCTGCGCCCTCGGCCCTGGAGCCTGAACGGGTCTCCCATGCCCAGTACATGCCATGCTTGGGTCGATGTTTGGAGCGCTCAGCGAAGCCCAGACAATACCCTGTTCCACCTCGCCGCGGAGAATCCGGGGCGTGCTGCAGAACAGCCTGAAGGTGCTGGCGAGGCTTTCCTGCTTCGATGTTGAGGCTTCGCATGCATTGAGGGTCTACCGAAGGCGTCTTGAAGAGCTTGCGAAATTTCTACCGTAGTGTTGAATCTGGGTGTGCACAGATGGTGGGCAGGACTCGGTTTCAGGGTGCGGCAAGAACACAGAAGGCTGGATGTTGAAGATGATGGAAGTTGCAGTTAGGCCCCTGGAAAGAAGTTGAATTCATTTACAACTTCCACAGAACACAATCGAGTGCCGGGCCCGGGCCCAAAAGCATCGCTGAGCACATGGGTTTCAGTTCGTGTGCAGCTTGCAGCTGAATACCTGTCCGTCTAGTCCATCTCCATGCAACCTTCCCGTGTCAACTGCAGCTTGCAGATAACTCGCATCGCTTGCATCTAGCCTGAAGCCTGGCAGCCATGGCTCTCCGATCGTGCTTGCCCGCGCAGAGCCTTGCCGTGCAGCCGGCATGGACATCACGGGCATCCAATCCACATTTTCAGGACAGTCTCTCTTGGCTAACATGCTGTCGCATTTGCCCTTTGTGTTGCGGTGGAGAGGGCTTCTCGCCTTTGCCTGTTCAGCATGATGCTAGTGATGCTTCAGCCGACAAGCGCCAACCGACCAGAACCAATGCAATCCTCCGGCATGCTCGACGAATCCCAGTTTGCATTTGTCACAAGAACATGTGAGCCTGCCTGTATTGATGGTGCGCAGGCGTTGCTTGTTCATGTTACATAGTCTCTTCCGCTGCTGCTTCTTTTTTGTGAGATCACCCTAGTGTTGCACCAACGGCATGTGATGCTTGTCCGCATGTTGCTATCGAAGGGGCAAATAGCTACATCTGGAGAAGCTACGTGCAGAGTTTGTGTAACTCATGCATGGTGCGGATGGACCAAGCCCGTGATTGTGGCGAATCGAAACATGCCGTTCGTACGAGATGTAGAGTGGACAGATACGGCCTGGCGAAGAGCTGCAAACTCCTTCCCGATGCCGTCAAGCGATCATCAACAACAGTTTCTATCTTGAACATTGGATGATCCAACATGTGCATCGTACGGTTTAGATTCTTGCTACTCGGCTACAGGATCTGGAAGCGGCTTGCGGCTTTCGTCTCGTGCTCCCCAAACCCTGAACTTGAAGGCTCAACCTGCCCCGGCCCGCGAAATGGGCAAAACCCCGTGCTGCGAGGGAGCTGCCGTGCCAGAAGCGCAGCCTGTAGGACTCCGTCGCCACCCTTGGCTGGGCAGCCGGATCGCACTGGGACATTACTGAGTGAAGAAACACTTAACCCCATTCACTTTCGCACCACGGAGTACATTGTAATACTAAAGCTGCCAGAGCATGCACTCTGTTCGTACGACATGAGGCCAGGCTTCTGTGGTCGTGTGCATTTGTGCCGCAAGGCCAGAGCCCGTTGTAGTAGTGGATACTGGGTTCTCATACTAAAGTAAACTGCGACGGCTTGCAATGAGAAGTTCAGCTAGCAACACGTTTTCAAATCTGAAGGGTCAAGGCCAAGTTCAGCAGAAAAACAGGTCCACTCCCTTTCACCATCCGTCATCTCAACCTGCGACGGACTCCGAGGACTGGCCTTTGGCCTTTCCGCCCTCGGCCTCAGCCGCCGTGGCGTGCACGGAGCGCGCAGCACACGGCCCGCCCGCTGCAGCTCCAGCATCTCGGCTCGACGAATGCTCGGATAGGATCCGTACTGAGCCGTTCCCCGAGGGATTGCTCGCGGCTGTGGGGAGATTGACGAGGAGCTCATTGAGGGCTGGGTGGTGAAATACCGGCTCCAGGGCTAAACCTGCGGCTCGGTCGCGGCCGGCGTTCGCGTTCTCCAAGGTCAGACCGGGAGCGCCTCGGGCTCGCAGTCGTCGAGGCGCGTTCTCTGCGACGCTTCGAATTGGTTTTCCAGGGCCATTCAAGGAATGCAGCTGGGACCCAGCTGTGGTAGCGCCTCGGAAGGCGAAGCGAAGCGCAGAAGCCAACAAGCTGAGGCGACCAAGACTCAGAAGATGCTCCAGCCGCTCTGCACCTGGGAGGACTCATGGGCCTGGCCGGCTTTGTAGTGGCGTGGAGAGACTTTGCTTTTGCCTCCCCTCGAGGATGGTGAACGCACCTTCGTGGTGGATGATACTTGGCAGCACTGCGGCTTTTTGTCCATGCCTCCGAAGCTGAGCACGGCACTGCCACAAATCTTCAACAGACTGGGGACTTGCAGGAACACCTGCGGAGCATCGGGCTCAACGATAACCTGTCATGCCTTAGTCACTTAGTCGTTTGGGTTTGTCAGCGCCTGCGGCCCAATTGTTGGATCATTTTTCCCGAAAGCCCCTCTGTGATTGGGTTCTCGTCTAGTGCTGTAGCACGAGGTGTGCGATATCGGACACTGTCTGGACGGGAGAGCTTCAGAAGACTAAGCGGTGGACTGACTTGGACGTGGGTGGTGGAATGAGGGGAGGGGAGGGGTGAGACGGTGTCACAGCCGGAGGAAGATGGTTGTCTGTCGGGGAGGCGACGGAGGAACGGCCGGAGAGGAGAGGTCAGACGGTGTTGCCTCAGGGCGGCAAGCGGTGTGAGCCGCCGGGGAGGTGTTCACAAGGGGCGGAGTGCGTTTTGGGTGCGCGGGCTGTGCGTGGGCGATGCGCGGAGAAGGCGCGGAGTGCGATATCGCGTGCTTGGGCGTTTCGCGGAGGAGCGAGGCGTGCACAACGGGCGGAGCGCGATATGGGATTCGTGGGCGGTGCGCAGGGGCTGGGGGGGGGGAGACATGAGTGGACAAGATTCGTTTGGGTTTTCAGGTTCCCGGCTTGACCTTGTTTGCCTCGTTGACATCTGCAGGGCTGCACCACGGTATCTCCTCCGTTTTTCGCAGTTTCACAGAACAGCAATCAGTTCTTCAACACGGTCGCCATGTGGCTCGGTGCATGTGGGCCCAAATTCAGTTCCATGCTAGAAGCCAGCGCTGACTGCTCATCATCTGGAGTCTGGGTGCTCGTCACCCGGAGAGGATGTCCTACGAACAGAGCCAGCTAACAAAGCTCCGGCGCAGTGCAAAGCGGGGCAGCTATGACAAAGTTGTGGTCAACGAGATTCTGGACGCAGCGTTGGTGGCACATGTGGCCTATGTAGATGGAGATGGCCAGGCAAAGGTGAGCCCCATGATCTTCGGAAGAGAAGGCGAATCTCTTTACCTCCACGGCCATGTGAGTGCCGGCGCACTGCGGAATGGCTCTATTGATGTATGCTTTTGCGTGACCTTAGAGGACGGTCTGGTGTTGGCGAGAGCCAACATGCATTCCAGCATGAACTACCGTTGCGTCGTGGTTCACGGACAAGCCACGGACATGCCGGAGGAGGACTTGAAGAGGCATGGCCTGGACGTCATCACGGACCACATGTGCCAAGGCCAGGCAGCCCGCGCCAGGCCCATGACCAGCGCAGAGGTCGCTTCGACCCGGGTCCTCCGACTTAAGCTGGAGGATGGCAAGGTGCCTCGAATGCCTTTTTGGCCTTGCCTCCTTGTTTTGCGTCTGAAAGTCACTTCACCCGCTCTAGTCCGAGCGTAACCGAGGTGAGTGCGAAGATCCGTGCTGAAGGAGCCAACGACGACAAGGAGGACATCGAGCAGCTGAAGCACATCTGGGCAGGCGTCATTCCCATCACGCGGGTCTATGGGCCACCAGAGAACAATCACGACTCCAGCGCAGCCCCGCCTCCGATCGTTGTGAACTACCCGAAGTTCCGGTCTGGCAAGCTTGCAAATCGTGGCTGTGACACTTGACTGCATGTAGAATGTAGAAGGGATGGTGAAACAACGGATCCCTTCAGCCTTGAGATGCCATAAGGACTGGAATTCTACTTCGGTTGCCCTGGTAGGGGCTGTGGCCGCAGTGGCGGCAGGATTCGGCTTCGTGCTCGGTGTCGCTTCTGCAAAACGGGCTGCTTAGCCTTCATGCATGGACGTGCAACAAAAGGCGTACAGAGCGCAATGCCTGCGCGGACTTGTACAGTGTACAGCATGTCATTCGCCTCTGCCCTTGGGCAATCCAGTGTTGACTGGATTGACCATGCAAGTGCAGCCCAATTGCGAAACGGATTTACCCTTGCTTCGGTGGGAAGAGATTGCAGTTAGATTCTGGAGAGGCCCGTTGTTCACGGGGAGACGGAGAATGACCCGTGCCTTCAGGAAGAAGCAGAGCCCTTCCCACTTGATGACCGAGTCGTGCCACTCGGCCAGCGGCAATTCATGCAAGTTCCTCCTCTTCCGTGACAGAGCACTGGCGGCTAGCAAGCTCAGGTACATCTTGGATGACGTTTGTATAAGCCACAGACAGTTGCCACGACCGGAGAATCCGCATGGTGAGGAGACGGAGGACCGTCGCATGAAGAGTGTGTTCTGCTCTTTTGAGTCTGAGTCTGAGTCTGCTGTGAGGACACTTACTTGGTTGGGGAGCTTGAAGATCTTGAGGATGTGGAGATCGTCATCCGCCCAGAGCGAGAGCCCCCAAGCATGTGAGGAGACGCAGGCGCAGGCACCGGCGGCTGCAGCGCTACCTCAAAGTGGTGCTCAAGTTCCGATGACTTTGATGTGACTAGACATGGGAGAAAGCTATGCCCAAGGCAGAGCGTACAAAACCGTATCTGTAGCATTGAGTTGTATCGGTGGCGACAGCAATGAGAACAAAGCGTCCCATCTGTCCTCAGCCGCCTTTACACCAGGCAAAACCCTAGTTTTCCTGCAAAAGAGCGTTCGTGGCTAATGCTGAAACATGACATGGATTCTGCGCAGTCTTTCGTGTGCTCGACGCAGGTCCTGTCCTTGCTGCTCCAGAGCGGCTGGCAAGTCGTGGACAGCTTGCAGAGCGATAAGCATAAAGTGGGTTTTCAGCATGTTTTGGGCTTCGGGCTTGGGTCTGCGAGGACCAGAAGAACAAGGTGGGCGAGCGGGCAGACGTCGTGGCCAAGCGCCTGGATCCGAAAGGCCGGACCGCAGAAGCAGTGCACAGTCGTGCCGTAGCGTGCCGAGCGACAGAGCCGTGAAAGGCCCGGTGGGACGGGTGCTGGGATCACGGCTGCTGGCTCAGAGCTGCCAAGCTCCGCAGTCGTCAAGCTCCGCTATGCTCCGCTTCAAAGCTCCACTTCAGGTCTCTGTGTTTCAGGGAGCCTCTTCGAGTCGAGGCGCCAAGTGCAGGGAGGGCAGGGAGGTCTGCGGCAGGGTAACTCAAAAGAAGCTGAGATATCCTGAGCATTACAGAGTCGGGCCGTGGGAAACAGTGCAGTGTGCAGCACGGGCGCAGCGCGGCAAGCCGAGTTAGTTGCACTTTGACCAAGCGATTCGGCTAATTCCTTCCTGTCCTGTGAAGGCCCCACTGCAACTGCTAGGTGAGGCGCCGTCGGCTTGGAAGCCGGTTCTGCACGGCTTGATGCGATCAAAAGCGGGCATCAGCTCTGCTTGTTTTTGCTCCTGCAAAGGTCGCCAAAACCGTGGACCTGGCAGTATCCGGTTCAGGCGCGGTGCCGAGGGGTCTGCGGTGTGCCTCTGCGGCCTCTGTGGCGCAGGGAGCCATCATGCATACCTGGAGACTTCCGGGGGGGGGGGGTGGGAGAAGGTGACACAGGTGCCGACGACGGGCAAGACGTGAAGCATGACAGTGGAATTGGATTTCGGAGATCAGAGCGGCACGATGCAAGCGGAGTGCGTGCCGTGATAGATGTCCGTTAATGAGAGAATGCTGGGAGAAAGCAGCAGGCGTGAACATCGCCCTTTGCAGTGGTCGCTCATCTGTAATTTCCCCCGCCCAGCATCTCACACGCAGGACGAGCAGCGGCGGAGCTTTGCAGGGGAGGGCGCCTCAGAACCAGCACGCTGAGCAACCGAAAGATTTCAGTTTCCTGCTAAGGTCAACTTTCGAGCTTTCTCAGAGGAGCAGTGTTCGCGTTGGATGAACCTCCTGTTGGAGGAGGCTGTCTGGGAGGGAAGCCCAAGCTTGATCTTGGCCAGGTTTATAATGCTCCCACCTGTGGAAGCATTATCCAATGACAGGACGCCCAGTGGTCCTCCTCTGCCCCACGCAACTGGCTTTATGATAATCTGTGCCTTTTGGCTTCATGATAATCTGTGCCTTTTAGGCTCTCGCAGTGCAGCCTTCTCCCTGGCAGGGCTGTTGGATTCAGCTCCCCGGCGTGCCTCGCAAGGTGATCTGGTATGTCTCAGAGGAGAGCCTGGCACTCCCATGTAGCAGATCGGCAGGGTGAAACCTCGGAGCAACGAAGCCGTTCCAGAGCAGGACTGTGCTGATGTCCCGTACCGTTACTCCGGTTTGGAGCCGTGCGCTCAATGAGGGCTCAGGAGCGACACAGGACATGGAAGCTGCAGGCTCGAAGTAATCCGAGGTTTCCCGCCACGGTCTATCCGCCGTTCATGAAAGAGATTTGCAAGGACTCCTCTAAGCTCGAGTTTTCAGGCACCGGCCAGACCTCGCTCCCAAACCTGGCGACACCGAGCCTCTATGGGCCCTTGGAGAGTTGTTGCAGCTGTTCCTCAAACACCCAAATTCCCAGACTTTCCGATTTTGCCTGCCCGACTTGAGTCCCAAAGCTCCGCAAACCAAAGCACAACAAACTTGAGAAATCTCGAAGCTCGACTGACAGACCGGAGAGCTGGCGAAATTATGCATCGTGCTGCATCCTCGGAAGGAGCTGTGCACGCTCTGCGGCATTCCAGAGGACGCGCCGAAATATAGCAGTCGGTAGTATCGAACAGGGGAAACTTGTGTTGAAGGCGTGCTTTCAAGAATGGAATCCGTACAGCTGCTGCGCTCGTCTAACCATGACTGTGCTACTTTTGAAAGACCTTCAGAAGCGATACAAACTTCCTAGCCTGTGCCAACAGTCATTGAGATCGAGCAGCGCGACAACATTTTGTCATGTTTTGTCTGTGCCTTCACATAAGTTCTGCGGTGACCAGCTCGAAGCGACTTCTGCCCCGCTGCCCAGCAGGGCCAATACCCCAATTCTTGCAACGTCAACGTTTACGACGATGGCAGTCATGAGGCCTGCGTGACCTTGTAGACAGGGATGATTGCTGACAGCCACACACGATCTGGCAGAACGGACATGATTGGTGACACACGTCTGCGTGCCATGCCTATGTTGATCCCGAGCCTCTGGTTACTGGTTCCGTATGTCTGAAAGCTCAGTACGATTGAAGCTGCGGCACCCAGAATTCCCAGAACAGATGTTTAGCTGAACAAGGCAAGAGTCCTATGACCGCGTTTGTATCCAGCAGGTGGGTTGGCACAGCGACGATGAAGTCCTGTTTCAGGGCTTGGCCTGCGACACTCGGAGCAGAGCTCAGCACGTTGCGCCGTGTGTTCTTGCCCGGTTTCCAGTTGCACTTTCATGGTTTGAAGCAGTGCTTTCAGCGGCTTGAGATGGCTCAGGATCTTATCGCTTTCGCTAGGTTCGGCGCGAGACTTCAGCTGGAGACTTCAAGGCCGTCTCCTGCACAGCACAAACGTTGCCGTTCGAAAATGGCCCTCATGTGGACATCTCCCTCATTCTCTTGCTCTCTCTGTCAGGTCCCTTGTACACTTTACGACCTGCAAGCGATCATCAAAACCAAGCAATGCTCGAAGCAGTGCTGATGATGGTAGGCTGCATACTTCCTTCGGTGTCGGTAGCTGTGTGCGTTCATGCACAACAGCTATGAGGCAGCACAGCGTCACCAGCTATTGGCACGACACGGGGGCACGGGAGCGGGAGCCGCACCCAGCAACTTCGGCAGGCACCACAGAAGCTCTGGGATCAGTTCCTTTGGGCGATGGCGATGTCGCTACCATGGAAGGCACGGATTAGCTTTTGGCAATTCCAAAGCAGCTCTTGGATGATCTTCGACGTCTGACTTGCATAGGGTATCGACTCTGCGGGTTGGAAGAGGAAAGTCCACTAGAAACTCTTGTGGGCAGGTCTGTTCCAGAAGCACTACAAGCACGCAGCCGCAGTCTCAGAGTTCAACGTTGTTGGTCTGTGTACCCCTACCTGCATGAGGTGCCTGCCACGAGCCAGCCACGTGGAAAGAGAATCAACTTGACTTTTCGGTGGATCAGGGTCAAGGCCCTCACAGCAAGAATGAGTGGTTTCCGACAGAAGAAGTGGCTGCCTGCAGAAATCCCGTTTGGCAGGCCGATGGGGTTGATGCGGGTGTTGCAGCTGCGAAGTGATGTGGATCTTGTGCCTGTACATATGCCAGCCGTAGCAGTGGTAGACAAACCCGGCAGCAAAACTTCCCCTCATGTGCAACACTAAAAGCAGGAACGCAATCTGCACAACGTTGCCTGACGAGTTTATCTCCGCACATGTGCTGCAGCCGGCTGAGACACATCTTGAAAAGGTGCGAGCAAGACACGATTGATTGCGGCTGTCATGGTCATGGTACGCACACTTTCGCAGTTGGCATACAGGGCGTTACGAAGCGAAGGGCTGTAAACATGTGGGGACGTCGCGAAGTCGACTATCACAGCTAGAGCAAAGATCATGTTGTCCCAAGATAAACTAGGTGAAAGCAGAAGATGACCGATTGTGAGATCTCTTTCTGCCGCGCTGTTTAGGCTCGAGTAGCCGTGGTCTCCCTAACTCTTGGGAGACCTATACCTGTACAGATAGGTGGAGCATCTCTCCCCAAAACTGGGTGAGCGGACGTAGGCAAGCAGACATCTGCACCTTTGACACACTTAGGACTCAGTCAGATTTTGCAGAGCAAGACAGTACCGGAAGTCGATTCAATTGTAATACGAGTCAGCATAAGAGCTGGACGCTTCGTGAGACCCTGAACCTGACAACCCAGAGTATCAACCCGGAAAAGACCCACAGCACACCCCCTACACGCCAGGTCCACATTACATAAGCGCTTTTGGGCAACAGCATACAAGGACCTGCCAGAAACAGAAAGCGCCAAGATTCGCTCACGTCCTCCCTGTGGCTGCGCTGCGCAAAGGCGTTCCGTGAATTGCTTAAGAGTGTGTACCACCGGTGGAGTGATCGTAGTGGGAAGAGTTTTGTGCCCTCCCGCCTGGGGCAAGGGAGGGTCGTCCCCAATTCTCTGCACAGAGAGGTCAGAACATCACAGCAACTTCGGGACATTTTCACCAAATCTCTTCTCAGGCAGTGGCAGTCTGTAATCTACGATCCGGACTGTTTGAAGCATCTTCTTGGGCCGCTGACATCCGCGCGAGCCCGAGTCACGCACCTGCGGAAAGTGCGATTTCATTGCTTGGCCCTTGCACTTTCACGGAATTGAGCGACTGACTTAGGGCCCATTAGGGCCATTCAGGCCAGGAATTCCTGTCTGACGGTAGAATCGGTAGAAGGCTCCTTGCGGCATTCAACTCTCAGCGGCCTCAAGTGCAGCCCCACTCTTCCCGCACTCAGCTCAGGCCAGTGGCCTTCTTCATTTTCTACCACGGCTGTTTCACAGCGGCATGGTGCGAGGGACGGGGTGGGGGAAACTTGCAACAATGTTCCAAAGGCTGCACGGCATTTCTGCATTGCGTGGTCGCTGCTGAGATTTGCTTTTGCAGTAGTGTTGAAAACCGGAAGCACGGCAAGGACTGTTTAAAATTGATGCCATCGTGTTTTAGGAAGTGCTGGTATTGCCTGTAACCTTTGAGACTGGCTGCCAGTCCCTACCCCTTGTGGGTGTGACCAGTGGCATCGACGCGACAGCCATAGGCCAGGGCAACCATGCAACAGTGCATGGAGCCTCCCGAGCTCATTTTCGATTTTCGACATCCTGGGATAGGTTTCGGGGGAACTTTTCTCGAAGTGCGGTTGCCCGAACTGAATGTCTAAAGATGAGTCTTTCCTGCTCAGGCGGAGGCCCTGGCTTGACGCTTTCCCGCCAGGAGCGGGAGGTCCCAAGGCTCTAAGGCTCTAAGGATCCGGCACTCCTTGATGGCTTTTGGCGTGCATGCATGGAGTCCAGTGACCTCCTGATGTCGTCGCAGGTCTATGCAAAGCAAGATTCCACGTAGCAGGAGCTGACAGCATGTTCTGGGCCATGTTCCGGCTCCCTCGCTCTTCGTCGAGTGATTCCGGCACTACTTGTGGGCATGCAGGTGAAGCCGAACCAGGTAGCTACCGGATTCTTGGCAACTGGTTACGATGTCTGCACGTCGGGGTGGATCGTTATGATTTGAATTGGCAACACCTCTAGAGGATGCTTGTGCATATATCTTCCTCAAAAAGATTTTGCCGCCTGGCACTGCTTCGGAGCCAGGTGACGACCCTCTTGCAAGGTGCTAGACGAGCAGATGCACAAGGCACGGCTGTCTCTGCGCCACGTTGGCGTGTTGTGCAGTCTGCTGCACTTCACGGGGCCCAAGTGCACTTTGAAGACATGCTCCGACACTGGGACGAAGCTAACATCTGGTACAGCGTACTATATAGAGAGGGTTATCATAAGGTTGTGTAGTCTGTACAAACATCCCCAGAACCGTTTAGCTTGCAAAGGCGAGCACCAACAGGCCAAGGAGCTCTATTCAGAAGCGCCGGCCTCATGATTGAGAGCTAAAGCGGCCCATGTTTCAGCATGTCTTCCTCTCATGCTGGAAGTGCTGCAAGCGATTGTTCTGTGCCTCGGTCAAACCGCGAAGGATTGCAACAGATGTTCAATGTACGGTGTCAAGACTTGCTGTCCAGGTTCTGAAGGTGCGGATCCCTCCTTTTGCGCTTCGTGTGTGCACGGCATTGCTGTAGCTCAAGTCCTGGCAGTACTTGTCCAGTAAAACATTCGGGCGGCAGCAACTTTGCAAGCATCACAACTCTGCTCGCAGATTCGTGCTCAAGTTTGAGACACATGTCTAGTCATGCGCAGGGGTGCAGGTCCGTGAGGCATCCATCGAGTTGCACTGAAAAAGTGGCAGTCAGAGTCGGCAGTTGGCTGTCTTCACAGTTGTGAATACGTGCGGCCGGGGCTTTGTGGGTTCCAGTTCCAGCTGGAGCAGGCAGGACAAGTCCTACCTTGGCCACACACATTGAAGTCGTCACATGGTACCCACATGATTGCTGCTCACGACACATTCAGGCTCTACACTTTTTCGATGGAGAATCATAGTGTGAAGTACGAGCAGAGATGCCTCAACAGGTTGTCAGCATGTTTTTCAACGCTCAGCGTGATCTGCAGCAGTTCCTTGTGCAGGCTCGTTGGTGCGCGGGCTGCCCGCATGGTGCCCAGACTGTATTCAGCATCCGCCGAAAAGTGACCGCTCTCGCCAAAGTCAACGATATGCAGCGTGCTCGGTCAATTCGACCAACTCAAGCTAGAGCCGCATGTCGCTCCTGTAGGCGATCCATTTTTTAGCTGAGAGCCCAGCCGCCCAAGCGGACCTCAATTCTCCACTAGACAGCCTCTTCAACTGTAAGACCGTTCCTTCAAGCCATGACCTAGCACGGCCGGGGACCGAAGAGGATCGCAAAGAGACAGCCTAGGGCCTACTGTCCTCCGTCTGCGAGAGAAAACTGCTGATGTGCTTCCGGTGCCATGGGAGCGGTCCCAGCATGCCCTCCTTGCTTTAACGAGCATCTCTAGGCCAGGCCGGTGCGGAGAGAGAGGGCGACAGAGAGACTGCAGAAACGTGCAGACAGAAAGAAAGAGAGACTGCAGAACCGGACAAAAATTGGAGGGTAAAGAGGGCGAGAGGGTGCCAGGGAGAGAGCGAGAGGGAAAGGAATAGGACAGATGGAAAGATATTTTTTGTGACTTCGGCTGAAGTTCAGCATTGCGTCTGCTGGCCAACATTCAATAGCCTGTCCCAGTCTCAAGAGCATCTTCCTACGAGCCGAAGCTCTATGCTCTTTTGTAGGGAGGATCCTTTCGCCCTGCTGTAGGCTGTAGCACTAACTTCAATCAGAACCTTGATCGGATGGATGCAGGGTTCCTTGCGATCTGTCATACCAGTAGAGTAGCAGACTTCTTTTTGGTGTCCATTGTGTTCTGTGCTGATCCAGTTCCACCTTGATGGCTATGGTCCGAGCAGCTGGGAGACACGTGTTTTGCACAGTCCTCAAAGTGGTCCTTTTCGACTTCGCGTATCTCTGCGACGCTCTGCGGATGTTCCGCACGTGACATTCTTTTCCTTGCTGGGTGCAGCGGATGGAGTCGGCAGTCGACCGAGTCGGCAGTGTTGGTGGCTGTTTTCCATGATTCTGATCGCCCCCTCGTCGGAACCCTAGCCCTAATCCGCTGGATGGCTTCCCTCTCCTATGCAATACGGGTGTTCCTTCTCTGATGAACAGGCCGTGTGGCAGATGGCCCGGAAAGCCGTGAAGGTCCGGTCGAGGCACCAAGGATTTAGAGGCAACGCCGTAATATTCTGCTTCTAGCACTCGACACGCGTGGACTACATGGCGTAGTGAAATCGCGCTTGCTACAGGGTGTTAGTATGGTTGCGGTCGCAGGTCCTCCTCATCTCCCAGGAAGCGAAAGTCGAGGACTCCTTACGCTCTGTGTTAGGCAAGGGCTGGATAACGACCTTGGTCGGCTCGATTACAACCCGTGCTTCAATTCCACAGCATCTCTATCTAGACGATTGAGGCCACAATTGCAGCAAGGCTTTGCGTCAGTTTTGCTCAGCTTTTCCATCTTAGTTAGAGCCCCTTTGATTGCCAAGCTTCAAGATGACTGACTGCACTATGCGCCTGGTCCTTGCCCTTCACAGCTTTTGCCAGGTCCCGAGATCGTGACAAAACCAAGGCAGCTTCTTTGGCCTAGTGTGTGCATGGCACTGCCCCTTTTCCTGTGCGCTGCACGCTCAAAGCCCTGACAGGCAAAGCGTCGAAAGAAGAAGCAGAGGCCTTCACGGGCTTTGCTGTTGTGCTGCTTTCAGCCTCTGCTTTGTTAATTTTATGTCGCATGTAGAGGGGCCGCACCTGTAGGTGTTTTCGAGATTCAGAAGGAAAGCAGTGTGTTGGGGGATGCCGCGGTTGCGGGTTTTCGCTGGGAATGTACACGTGGTTCGAGCGAAGTGGATCAGCTTCTGGCCAGGGGCGGTCGTGTTGGGTGTTCGAAGATGGGAATCCGGGAGCGGTGGTGAGATTCAGTTCCAGAATGTACTGTCGTTTTTCGGTTTTGAGGGCGGGGAGGGGCGAGCGTGGGGGCTGGGCATTCAGTTCGAGGCTCGGTTCAATTTGGGGGGACCGGGAGAGGTTTCAGCGTTCGAGGATG